AAAGAGTGTAATGAAATAGTTAACTAAGCTGTTGCTCTACAGCCTCATTCTTATGTGCTAAGAGGACCATGCAGTGACAGAACTTGAGCTCTCCAGATCAGCACACAATTTTTATCTTTGCTTCTTAATGGAGGAGTCCTCAAAGTCCAGTACATAACAGCCAGGGGGTTCTTGGAAGGAGATAGGAAAACAGGTCCCACCTGAACTAAAGCTGCTAAGTATCTAATCTTATCTCAACAGCACTCATCGCATTTTATGCTAGGGTCACTTGTTCTGGTTGCTGGCCACACCTGAGTTTATCTTGTTTAATCTCCAGCTCTTCTGGAAACCCTTTTTGGGAGGGAGTAGGGGGTAGAAGTGGACTTTGCCTTAAAGAAGACTAAGAAGTAGTTAAATCCTGCACTTACCATGCTGTCACTTCACAGCCTGGTGAGTGCAGAGGGAGTCTGCAGGGACAGACTAGGGTGTGTGCATTTCTGTTTGCACTGTCACCAGCTTTCTCGAGGAAAACCTGGGAAGGGGAAAACCACCACTGAACTAGACAGCAGCATTGCATGGACATAATCACCTGCTGCGAGTAACCTTGACCTGTCTGCAAGAGCTTTGTTTAAAGCAGAGGGTGGCTTTGTTTGGAAATTCAAACTGAAAGGAGATTTAGTCATTCTGCTTGATTTGGACTGAGATTTAGGCATAATGAGGACAAAAATGGTGTCACTTTTGCTGTCTTTTTAGAGCTGAGCTGGAAACTACTTTCCTGTTGTCAGCAGAGAGCTTGGTATTGGCAAGAAAAAGAGAGCTGGGGCAGAGCTACCCATGCTTGGCTCCCTGAAATAAAACTCCAGGGATGCAGAAGAAAGATGCCTATAATTTAATCCTTTTCATTAGCCTAAGCTCTTGTTTAGAAAGTATTCACTGTGCCTTGTCTGGTAGCCTCTTGGGTTATAGCAGTCTTATTTTGGTGTTGGAATTGACCTCTCCTTTTCAGTCTTTCTTTGGAGATGTACCAAGTCATACCATGCCTGAGCTTGACTCTTGCCTCGGTGAAATCCCACCTCTCCTTTTATCCAAAACTCTGCCAACCAGCTGGTGATATTGCTGGTTGAAAAGTTCAAAGGTACCATGAGCAAGCTTGAATTATTGATGCTGCTTTCCTTCCATATGCACGTAATCATCTGCTGCTTGGGCACAGCCCAGCCAGGATTGATGTTAGACTCCATAGCTGGGTGGGCTTGCAAGGACCCAGAACAGGCTGTAGGCTGCTGGGAAGAAGGCCCTGGAGAGCGAGCCCCTTACCGTGGACATGACCCCACTGAGGAGCTCGCTGGAATCGGGACATGCAGCGTGTGGGTGCTGAGAACCTGACTGTGCAGAGCCATAAAGGAGGAGCCTGAGCAATTGGTGCAGGTGAATGAAAACAGAAACTGCTAAGAATTAAGCTCCAAGTATTTCCCTTTAAGAATAATGATGGTATTTTTCCCTCTGTATGAGCTGGGAGAAACCACAGTGTTTAGGGAAGATAAGATTTCTCTACTGATCTTAAAATAACAGCATGAGCTGTCTGCTCTTCTCTTTGTCTGTGGGTTCATGCTGTGTTTGCTAATAGTGCTGACGTTCTCTGATTTAAAATATTCTTATTTCTTCTAAAAAGGAAAAGCAAAAATGAATTTTGTTTTTTTCCTGTAGTGATTTAGCTGAAGCTGGTATAGGGAGGGGAGCTGAAAAGCTGATGAGGAGGATCTTTCACCTGCCCTAGTGTGTCCAGGAGGCAGATGGTCCAGGGCAGTGAATCAAAGCAGGTCTGATGTCAGAGGAATTGTTTATATAAGCAGTGATTCATCTTGCTTTTCCCAGTAATAACAGTGGTGTTACAAAACAATCTGCTCTAAAGCCCTGGCTCAGGGGAACAGTGAACTCCAGGTTTTATGTTCTAACTCAGATTCAGAGTTGGGGTCCTGTCTTTACTGTGAGTCAAACTGAAGTCCTGTGCCTGAGCTCCCTACAAATTTGGGCAGTGTCCCTGACCTTCCTCATCATCCAAGTATTGCAGCACTGGTTTTTTGTGGAAGGTTTTAGCTTTCCAGACACATGAATATCCCGCAGTAGTGCACAAAAGCAAACTTTTAATTTTTTTTTCTACTGCGTTTGACATTGTAGAGAAGCAGTATCAACTTTAAGCTCCCAGGAGGATAGAATATTAACAACTATTCTGTACCAAGGATTTAGAGTCTAATTCAGCTACTATTAATCTCAGTAACAAAACTCTTATTGCAGGATTTAGAGATCTAGGCCACTATTATTCAGCAGGGAGAGGGGGCTGAAATAAGGTGACCAGACACCTACATATTGTAGAGAGTACTGTTTAAAGAGTGGGATAAGAGGAGAGGATTTGATGTTAAGAGATGAACTCTATACTATGTAACAGACATGTCCAAGGTGCTTTGAATAGTGTCAACTCTAGGCCAGAGCAAAAGAAGTTCAGAGGAAATGTTGAAGACGCTGGTGGTTGGGGAAGCCTTAACTGTACACAGCAGTGCTTCTGGGGCAGTGGCTTTTTGCTCAGCATCAGAGTTACAACAGGGGAAAAGGGAGATACTGTTTTACCCAGTTGTGGAAGATTGTTCTTCGAGGCAAAAGAGTACAAAATGGCTCGTACGCTAAAATAACCATTTGCAATAAAACCATGTGCTTTACATATGCCTACTGTGCTTTTCTTAGAGCATCAGCCTTCCTGGACACTGTAAATCTCACATGTGATTTTGCTGCCCTCCTTGGGGTGATTGAGGTGGGGTAAACTTTGGTTCACTAAGTTTTCTTTACCAGTTTGTGCCTGGAGCACTGGAATATTTTTTTAATTTTTTTTTTTTTTTTTAAAGTAACTCATAAGGATACTTGGACAAGTTTCAGACTGCAAGCAAGTCATAAGGTATTCTTGATTGTGAATGGATTTCCATCCAGCAGAGTAAGCTTCCTTCTCAAGGTACTAAATGTTAAAAATTCTCTTTCCTTGTCAGACTTTATGGTAGCTGCAAAGATTCAAAACTTTACGCTGAGTTGTAATCTTGACTGTGTACCCTTCCCCCACCCCCTTACCTAGAGCAATTAGAGGCCTGTGGATAGAAGCAAGTTTCAACAAACCTTGGCCAGGACTCTTTTGGGCTTGTAGCATGTGTACAATAACCAGCAAGGGTTTACTTTTCCTTATGGGGAAGAATACTTTTGTACCATATACTATACCCAGCTCAATCCCATTTCTCAAGAATTCTCCACTGGCCCTTGTGTGCCTTTGCAGTTCCCATTGTGGGATGTGGCTGTCAGAGCTTGTCCACTGCAACCATCATCACTGAGATGAAGGGGTCAGAGCTGTGAGACATGTAAATATGTTGCCAACATCCCATAATAGTCCAACATCTGTCAGAAAACTTCCAGAGACTATTTCAGCCTTTAAATAAGTAAGTTAACACTTTGTGGAGTTCAGATAACAGTAAGAACTAGTAACAAAATTTTGAGTGCTAAGTCCTCTGCTAACTATTGTAAGGCTGTGATGGGTGGAAGCTTCTCTTCTGCCTGTAGAGAAGCTGTGGAGCTGGCTGAAAAACAGAGTAAGAGGAAGCAGGAGCAAAGGGAGAGAAGAGTTTAACAGAGAAAGAGAAGAGAGGACAAAATATGTAATGAAATTTCCCTGTCTTATGTGCTGATTTGTTCCTTGCCCATCGCTGGCTAATATAATCTGTAAGGTAGTTACAGATCCCCCTAACAGGAGGCTTTTTACCTTTTTTTTTTTGCTTTGGAAAGATGTTGCAGACTATTGTGTTTCCTTCCTATAAGATCTTTTCCTTTGCACCTTTCTCCTCTTCCATTCACCTCCAAGTTTTCCTTTCTCTGATCCATCATTTCCTTTCAGTTATGCCCTTACGGTTTTCTGGTTTGGACTTTTGCCTTGAAGTGTTTAGTGGCTGGGGAATCAAAACCAGGCTCTGCCATTAGCACTTCATCCAGACAAAAGGGTAGAAGTGGAGTCTGGAGCCCAAGTGGTATTTTGGTCTGTCTGGAGCAGCAAGAGGTTGACTCATAAAATAAAAGATCTTTATAACTGGAAAGGATAGAACTGATATTTTCAAACAGGCTGAAAGGTCAGGACTAATCCTTTGGGCACTTTTACATCCTTTATTTCCTGCCTATGATTAGAGGAAAGAGAGAGAGATAAACAATGCTGATTAACAGAATACTGAACATTTCCTAGACTGTCAGCTAATAACAGTGCACTGAGGAGCAGTTGTGTGAAGATGCTGTTACACAGTAGAGTGGTATTTGCTTTAGGCTCAGTTCAGCCAGATCCTGGAAGGCATTGAGCGCTTGTTCACAAAACACACCCTTCAAAATGAGCCCCAGTGTCAATTCAGCTTGTACAGTGAGAGTTCTTGTTTTTGTTGTTGTTAACAATCAGTTTTGGTCTTTTCAATTCTACTCAACAATACAGCATCCACTCGGTCTTGTGTATTTTCAACCTGCAAGCCATTGTTTTTCCTATAGGTCCAGCTGTGGTTCTGGATACTCAGGAAACTGACTTAACTATTTACTGCTCATTTGTTTGACATAGATCATTAGATGTGTTCCTCTCTTCAGCACAAAGAAGGCTACTGGAGAAGCAAAAACTGAAATAAAATTATCATTCTGTCTTCAACTACAGTGTGGCTCAACCTTTAACTGTGAAAAATCATGGACATTCATTCAGTTGCCTGTATATGACTGGCCTCTGGTAAGAGTCCTGGTAAAAGAAGAAAATAAGGGTGATTCATGACAAAATAAAACCAAGATTAACCTGGAGCAGGACAGCTGGCTTGGCACTCCTCAGCTGCACAGGTATGGTTCTGCAAACACCTGTTTGGTTCTATAGAATTGAGATAAATTACTGTTTAGGAGGATCTGGGCTCACAGCAAAATCCCCAATGTTTCCTTTCACAGGTGAATTACGTCCTCACATACTCTTAAACACTGGGAAAATGCCTCCTTCCAGATCTAAGACTCGGCACAAAAAGTTTGGAAAAGAGAAAGTGTTGAATTGTGAGAAAAAGGCAAGCTCCCCAGGACATTCAAAGATCCACTGCGGGAGACAGTGGGACGAGAAGAGTAAAGGCCAGATGAAGGGCAAGGAGTCATTACCTGAACAAGATGACACCCTTGAAGGAGAACCCTTAAAAAGCCAGAGGCTAGAAAGACTTCAGGGGAGCAAAGAAAATGGCCACAAAAAGGTATCGCAGGAAAAAAGAGCCCACAAGAGAAATGATAAAAGAGAATCTGTTCTGGGGAGAAAAAATGGACAACAGTTAGTGTCCAAGTTGGAGGGGAAAAAAGGGCAGTCCTGCAAGCAACAGGGAATGACATCAGGGCGAGAAAGTGAGGATAGTAGTGATAAGGAGGGAAAAGCCACCACAAACAGTAAGAAGCACAGTTTTAAAAAGAAGTGTGAAAAGCTTCCTGCTGTTAGTGAAAAAGTCACTGAGTCAGAGTCTGTAAAGTCAATTGCAGTGCAAAGTGTTGAAGGCTCCCCTCAGAAACATGACTTGCCACAGAAGACACACAATGCCAGGCCCAGGGAAAAGCACAACAAGAATCATGGCTTTGAGGAAGCTTCTGAGCGGAAGTCAGGCTCTCAATCCCTGGGCAGTATGGCACAGGGAAAAGATGAGAGAACTGGGGAAAAGCAAGCTGGAAAACATACCAGGATTGTTGTCACTCAAAGTGCAGAAGAAAATACCCTGGAAATCTCCAGTAACTCTTGCTCTGACTCCAGCAGCAAAGGGCATTGGACCCATAGAAAAGGTACAAAAGAGGCTGTAGTGGAAAGTGTTGCAGACAGTGAAGAGAAAAATAGTTTCTCAGAGGAAGACAGCATCAGTGAGAAAGAAGCCATGCTCAAAGATCCTCCTGTGGCTGAAGGAAAAGGCTACAAGGAACTGCTTGATGAAAGCAGTGGAGCATCTAGTGAAATTGGAAGGGAGCAGGTGACCACAGATGGAAGGAATGAATCTGAGGGTGAAGGCACTGACTTTGCAGGATTGGAGGCAGGGGAGAAAATAAAGAAGCAAGATGTCATGCCGAGACAACCAAGATCTATTCCAGTTGAGAGCAGTGAGGAAGGGGATGATGTAAGCATTTCAGGATCCAAACTTAAAAGTCTTAGGAGCAGACAAACCGACAGTAGTGAAGCTAGCAAGGAAAATATTTTAGAAAATGACAAAGTTCAAGATATGTCAAAAGATGCACATGACAATTCTGACAGCAATGGGGAGAACAGCACTGAAGAGAACACTGCCAAAGGAGAAGAAGATACAACAAAACAACCGCTGCCCGGTGCTGTGAAAGCAAAACTCCACGTTCACCTTGGCAAGGTACTTCGAGGAACTGAAGAGGAGGAGAAGGTGAATGAAGAAGGTAGCTCACTGGAAGATAGCCCTCTGCTCTCCAAGCAGCAGATGACCTTGAAAGAGAAATCTGGGAGGTGTGAGACTGCAGAACAAAGTAAAGTGCTAGAAGATATACAGAGGGACAGTTCATCAGACTGTGGCAAGCAGGAGTTAGCAGTGATGATGCTTACAAAGAAACGCTCTTCTCAATCCCAAATCCCTCTCAGTTTGAAAAGCAAACCTAAAAATGCTGAGTCTAAACTATTAACAAGCTGTAAACCAAATCCTGTCCAGATGGCTTTGGAAACCAACTCTGACCTGAAAAATGTTGAAAGCATCTGTTCAAAACCCATGACTCTAGAAACCCTCAGTATACAGAAAGAACATAAGATAGCTCAGAGTTTTGGAGAGAAAAGATTAAATCTTTCGGCTATTTCAAGCTGCTCCACTATTACCAAAAAATCATCTGATAAGCAGCTCCTTGACAAGAAGAAGAAAGTCGGGAAAATTATTGGAAAAGTTAAATTGAGTTCAGACCAGACCTTAGAGGCAAAAAAAGAAACAGAAACGGTTGCAGAGGCATCTTCAGAAAATGTGCATGATGAGAAAGCATCCAAGTACTTGCACACCCATTCTGCTTTTAGAAAAGTCACCAGCTGGCTTGGTCAAAAACCTGCCAAGAAAGCAAGCCTGAAAGTTCGCCTGCTCAGCGTGGCACGTGCAATTAGTATTTCAAATTGGATCTTGAAGAAATTTAGGAAGAAGGAGAAAAGCAGCAAATCTTTTGGGTTCAGAAGCAGAGTGGCAATCCAGATTGTGAGCACTGCTGGGTGGATTGGTCGTTCTGGCAAAGCCTTCCCTGGTGCAGCTGGACAGTTGGGGAAGGCTGAGCTAGGTGACAAAGAATCTTCTCCTCCATTAGTGGAGGGGAAAGGTGGTGCTGAAGTGGCAGAAGAAGTGGCCTACTTTGATTTGCCTTCTGGTGATTCCCCTTTTCATGGAACCAGTTCCTTTCCGTACTTACTTAGCTTGGATGAGGAGAACAACAATGCTTCTGATGCCAGGTTTGCCATAGTATTCCCCAGAGTCCACAGCATGGTTAAGACAAAGAGCTCCTTATCCAGGGACTCTGGGAATGGTTATTCCCTAGAGAAACTGAGATCTCTATCAGATGGAAAATCTGTGATGCCTGTGCAACAGGGCTGCAGGTTCAAATGTGACCTTCCCAGATATTTGATGTATCAAAGCCCTCATAGAAACAGTGAACAGGGCTTCCTTCCTTGTCAAGAAGAGGATCCAATATCTACATCAGATTATTCCAGTGAGGTAGATGTCAAAGAGGGTTCAGGTGTCCTCCAGACTGCAGGGTCCATAGTCACACCTTGTGTTCACTGGTCTCAGCAGCAGGCTCAGGAGTGTGATCCTGCAGCATGGCTGAGCTCTGAATTGCTGCTGCCACCACTGACTGTTGAGAACCTAAGCAAATGGGCCATCTACAAGGACCCGCATCTGGCCAATAGCCATGTGGTGAAGGTCTGCACGGATCAGTGGGAGGCAGAAGACATCGCTGACAACATGCTAGAGATGGAATTCATGCAGAAACAGGTACAGGTGTTGTCTCCAGTACTGGAATGAAGCTGAACTTCTCCTGATTTTCAGTAATGTACCTATGCATTGCAGGTGTACGTGCATGAAGACCACTGTGTGGAAGTTGAGGAGATTGAAGATCTAACCAGACTCGAGTATGTGTTGTCGGTGGTATTCTGCAGCTAACTAAAGGTCACAGGAACTTGCTTGTTATCCTTCAAAGCTACTGTTGGCTCAACAACAGCAAACACATTCTATATACTTGGCTATCATGTGAGAAAATAGAATTAATTTGATGTGATCATAGCTGAGTAACTGATGCTCCATGGTGAAGCTAAGAGACTCAAGTGCACTGCTTGAGTTATGGAGCTCCACCGAATGACACACGGATGAGCAGAGCTGCAGGGGGAACTTCTGACTGTTGTCTACAGTGTCTCCCCAAGCTCTGCTGCAGAGAGAGCACATTGAATCTCTGCAGTCACATACCAGAGAGAACAGCTCATCCTAGTTAGCAGACTTTCACAGATGCAGCCAGGGAACTCTACCTCTCCTGTCAAATGATTTCCAGTCCTGAAATGGGTTCTAAGAAACCAAAATATACTTATGGGTAGGGCAAAGGAGGTTTAGAGGCTGATGTGACTTTTGTGGTGTTGCAGAGGGGACACAGCTGAGAATCTGGCATATCATTCTTGTGGCATGAAGTAGGTGGTAGGTGAGGAAGACCTGCAGGATAAGAGGCACATTTCTGTGTTGTTTGCCGACTGACACTGGCATCTGTGGCTTTAGCGACTCTCATTGCCTTCAGCTATGGCAAATTCAGGCCCTACATCTTTAACAGGTTTTAAATCCTGGGTTCATTGCTGTTGAAAGAGAAGCACCTAACTCTGCTTCTCAGGCATGTCTTGCACCTTCTACCCTTGCCATCCTGCTGAGATGTTGTGCTGTGTGCAAGGAGGTGTGATCACAAATAGAGGAACAGGATGGATGTTCTGAGCTTTGGCTGCCTTGCTCTCTAATGTGTTGAATCCAGGACATATTGGAACCACATGAAGGCAGTGAATGTTTTCAGATCTGAGCCTCCTACAAAATCCTTGGGAGGGCAGAAGGGTTAATAGTAACATGTGCAAGTGAAGTGTATGGCTGACAAGTGCTTTCCTCTGTTTGTAGGGAAGTCTGTGAGAGCTCCGTTCTGCTGTGCCTGAAGAAGAGGTTCCATCGCAATCTTATTTATGTATGGGTGGTGGTTTGTTCTTTGTTTTTTTTTTTCCTTCAGTGCTTATTCATTCTGAACAATTAGGAGAAAATTTCTATCATTCCATCAAGCTTTAATAATGCACCAAGAGCTCAGTCAGAGAATAGTGATAAGGATACTCACACTGCTTTTGCTCAGAAAATTAGTAGCATGAATTATTTGCGGTAAAATCTGAAAGTCTCAGAGTTTCTCTTTAATTTTGTTATTTGCTGCCAACTCATGAGTATACTTGGCTTCAGTTCTAGCCTCAGCTGCTCCTAGTGGAAGTCTCTTGTCTTAGGAAAGCAGTTCTGAGTAAAAATTGTGGGTCTCTAGAAGGACCTGAACAGGCTGGCAGTATAGACAGAATAGACAGCATTCCCTGAAAATTCTTTTTAATCCTTACATTAATATATGCATTTGGTTGCATTTCTCATTCAGAAAATTTGAAGAAATCACCACATTTTTTTTTCTTATTTTTGTCCTAGACTTACATTGGGCAAATTTTGGTTTCTGTGAATCCTTTCAAAGACCTCAGTATCTACTCTGAAGATGTGGCTACCCAGTACCACCAAGGGACTTTCTCTTTGAATGCCCCGTATGTTTCACTTGTTTCACTTTCTCAAATACCTCCCTATACTCTCTTTGGTTTGTGCTCCAGGGAAGTATTTTATTTTCCTACAGCTGTCTGATAGAGCAAGATGAATGCCACAGGAAGTGAACAATCCATTTGGCAAAGCTGTAGTTGCTTGGATGTGTAATGCTACAGAGCTAAGCACTTTAGGTCAAATTTCTTCGGTATTGCTTGAAGGTTTTTAATTCAATGCCTGCTGGGACTGTACCTGAGAAGTTCTGGCAGTATATGCAGCCCTGCAAGAGCTAGTAGTGTAGGCTGGTTCCTCTGGTGCAGGTCATACTCCTGGTGTCCCTTATATTAAAGGCCATGGCACCCAGCATTACCCAGGTCAGGCTGAAGAGATCTTGGCAGAGCCTGAACTTTGCAATACCTTGTAACAGTAGTATTAACCTGATGTCAGCAAAGAAAAAACCTCTGATTTCCCCTGGTTCAAGATACTGGCCCATCTCTAGTGTAGATCACCAGTGACTAACCTTTTGGTGTTGTATTTGGGAGGTAAGAATGTGAGGTCAGTTAACTGGGGTTTTCTTCCTGTTCATCTAGCCACGTCTTTGCCATAGCAGAACTGGCCTACAGGCTATCCCAGTCATCCGAGCAAGAGCAGTGTGTTGTCATCAGGTAGGAAACACAAGGTCTTTCCTCAAAGGCTTCTTAACTTCTTTCTGTAAGACTTTCATCTTTGTATTTCACTGCCCATAAGTTTATCGTTCTGGCTCTTATATGAAGGCTGTCAGTAGAGAATGTGAATAAGATGGATTTTTATTTTACTCTGTGCAGATACAATTTGAAGTTAGCTTCACACCAGTTTGTAGCAGTGGAAAAGAAGGCGTTTGGCATTCCACAGTGGTAGCTCATTTGGGCTTATTTTGTCAAGTTGTCTCAGTGTTTCAAACAATACATAATAGATCTTCATTTGTTGTAAACCTGTACAGCTCCACTGATTACTGTAATAGGTCCTCTGATATGTCTAAAATAGGTAATTCTGGTTTGTGCCATCTTTCTTACATCTTGTTCCTCCAGTGGACACAGTGGATCAGGTAAAACAGAAGCTGCCAAAGCAATTGTGCAGTACCTGACCATGCTGTACCAGAGATCAGACAGCCACAGGATCAGACAGGTGAGAGGCAACTAAGATTGGTTTTATGCTGTGCTGCTTAGGCAAGGAGTAGGAGCCAAAGACAGGGCAAAGAGGACATACTCTTTATGTTATTTCTTTTTTCCTGTTTAACTGAGCTGGACTTTGGGTGGCTTGTGGTTCACAGTGAAGCTCCCATAAAGCCATGAGGACAGCTGATGTACTCGTTTTGTATTTTGGTATCTGGGAGCCCTGATGCTGTACAGAGTGCTGTGTCTGTTTGAACAGAGAGATGAAACCTGCCTTAGAGACCTTGTAGCAGTGTCTGGGAGGTGAATCTGAACAAACACAGGGCAGAAGCAAAGTGAAAGATCATAGCAGTGAAGGTCAAGAGCTCACAAAGCAACTTGTTTGTTCCTAGAGGTAATGAAGACAAAATAACTTTAAAAAGATACTCTTTACCCAGGCAAGAATTATTTCAGTGAAACTCCACCCCTCCCCTTTTTTTTTTTTTTTTTGTTTTCAAACAAGCAGTTACCTTTTACTGTTACCAAATTAATAGTCCCTTTTGGGTTTAAGGACCTGTGATTGCTACTGAAGTGTTCTGTCGATCTCTTCTTCAAGCCCTGCAATGTCCTACCCATCCTGGAGAGTTTTGGGAATGCCAGAACCATCCTTAATGACAACTCAAGTCGTTTTGGAAAGCTTCTGAATGTCCATCTGCAACAGTGAGTAAAAGTAGTATCTTGGGATGCTGTCCTTCCCAACTGTCAACGGGTGTTTGGGTGAGAAAAGGTCTAGCTGTGCTTAGAGCTCATGCAACAGCCCTCCCTCCCCTACTCTCTTGTTATCATCAGGATAGGAACAGGGTGAATTTACTCCCCTGTTTTGCTTTTAAGTTTCCTCCACAAAAGAACTGATCTTTACCTCTCAAGATGGGTGAAAAAATTAAGAACATAAGAATAACTGAACTGTTTTATAGCAAGGAGCCATCTAATACAACGTTGTGTCTCCAACACTGGCCACAAGCATTCACTGAGGCAACAGTAAGAACAGGCCAAATACATACAATGCTTTTCCTTGACACTCTGTTAACTCTTAACTGTTTGCAGCAGCTCAGGAGTTTTTCTGAGACTCTTGTGGTTTTCCAGTTTCCTCCTGGACTCCTATAAACTTCATGCTGCTGCAACAGTCTCTGGCAAGTGTTCTACAGGTCTAACCGGTTCTGGGGAAAACACCTTTTCTGTTTTGAACCTGCCTTCTTTCTAACTTCTGTTTTCTTTCTTTCTTTGTTTGTATGACTGTTGCCAAGCACCAAGCTGATATTCTCACAGAACTGTCTATCATAACCCCCCAGTCTCAGTGGTTAACTCAGAGCCTGTCAGTTTATACATGAAGCTGGGATTACTTTGGCCTGTGTGCATCACTTTACATCCACCGGCAGTGAATTTCATGCACCATTTTCTTGCTCACTCGCTTGGTATCCTAAGGGCTGCCTGCATTTATTCACAATTGGCCTTCACCCTCACTGCCTTGAATAATTTCATACAATCAGGAATCTTTGTCACATTGCTGTTCAGTTCCTCCTTTATGTCACTTATCAAACCTTGAGTTACACTCACGGGTCAGAGCACCGACACTGTGGAACTCTGGTGGTTGCCTCCCACTGTTAAGAGGATTAGCCATTTACTCCTACCCACATCAGGACCTTCCCTCTTATACTGTGGTTGCTTGGTTTCCCTGAAAGTCCCACAACTTTGCCAAAACCTTTCTGGAAATTCACGTGGCAAAATATATCCCTTAGGTCATTCTTATCTGCAAATTTGTCATTCCCTTCAAACGACTCCAGAAGGTTTTTGATGCAGGATGTCCTTTTGCATAAGCAGTATTGACTCTTCTCAAATCAATTGTACATATTCAGGTGCCCACTAATTCAGCCCTTCATTACACATCTGTCTGATCTGCACAGGACACACGACAGGCTTAGAGTCTTATAGATCCTTGGATGCAGTTTGACTCCAGGCTGCTGGCTGCACGGCCCACTGTTGCTGTAGCATTTGAACATCCTGGTTTTGGTCCAGGATCACTTTGTGCAAGATGCAATTAAATTCCAAACCAAAAAGGTGCTCCCTATCCCTGCAGGCTGTCAGCCTGACATATGAAATGGGTGGGTAAGCTGACATGAGGGGGTGGTAATGCATCAGATATGGCTGAAGGGAAGGGGCGTGGCATATTCCCTGGACAGTTTCCAGAACATATCCTGTGAGGATCTTTCAAGTCCAAGTTCCTTTGTACCCTGGAGGCTCTTCAGAACCCAGAATCGAATCTGTATTTTTCTTACCCATTTTCTCTGCCTGATACAGAACATGAGTGCTGGAAAACTTCAAAATTCAAACCAAGTTGGTCAGGTCATACCCTTGTTTCCGAGCAACAGCTCCCTCTGCTAAACACTCAGAGAAATGGATCTACAGAAAACCTGTAGTTGGCTTCTGACAGGTTCTCTTGTTGTCTTATGCTCAGTGGCATCGTGGTGGGAACATCTGTCTCCCAGTACCTGCTGGAGAAGTCTCGTGTGGTATTTCAGGTGAGGACCAATGAGACCCTCCGTCCTAGAGGGGTCTCTTTCTCCTTTATTCATATTTAACCTTAAATTCACTGTTAAACAACACAGATGGGAGTAAGTCTGAGGACTGCCTCCTTTTTCTTCTGTTAGCAAGAAATATGTCCCCTCTGTGTAGCACAAAGTGTTCACTTGTTTTATTTGAATAAAACAGGAGGTTGCTTTGTCTCAAACAGGTTGAATTAAGCCACTTATTAGGGATTAATGAGAATTAAATCTTTCTTCAACTGATTTTTCTTGATGTCTGGAGTGTGGAAAAGATTGAATATTGGAGCCATGTGAAAGGCACTGCTCTCAAATGGAGTGCTTTTAAGGTGTCAGTGAGAAACCCTGGAAAATTTTTGAATGAAGTAGTTCTTGGGTGGCTTCTGGCCTCCTTTTGCTGACCTCAGAGTTTCAGTGTCCTGCTCTTTGAGTGTTTTGGTTGTGGCAGCATGTATGCTCTACGATTTTGGAACTGGATATGATTCAGCTCTATGAATTGTGTTCCCTGTCAGGCCCATGGTGAGAGGAACTACCACGTGTTTTATGAGTTGCTGGCTGGGCTGCCTGTGGAGCAGAAAGAGGAGCTGTACTTGCAAGAGGCAGAGTCTTACTTTTACCTGAATCAGGTGAGTGAGAAGATGATGCTCTGCAGTGCCAAAGCATGAAATGGCCAAGGCATCACTTCGGTTTGGTTACTGAGGCACCTGATAACTTTGCTTCCCTCTTGATGTGTCCCTCACAGGACTATGTAAAGTCTGCTCTGCTCTGTCTCACACCTGCCCTAAAAAGGACTACCTTTGTCCCTTATGTGAGCTTTTCCTCACCTTTCAGGCCCCTTCTGCTCCCAAAGAAAGCTTTTTAAAAAAGCGGTCATCGTGTAGGCCCACGGCTCCACCCTGTGGTAAAGGAATGCTTTTCTCGTTGCCTTTCCTTGCATTTGCAAGTTATTGTGGGACTGAAAAGAGCAGGGGACATTTCTTCCTTCCTCAAAACGTTTGCTTCAGTGGTTGAGTCAATGGGTGGCTATTTTAAACCACTGAAAGGTACTGCTATTACAATCTATTTAACTTGGAAAATTGTTTGCCAGACTTATGGCAAGCTATCACCTTTGAGTGGGGTGTCTTCTGTTTAAGAATGTTTTCTATACTCAGGGAGTTCACAGCAATATCAAGATATCTTTCCCATTTTGGCTGTGTGGGTCAGCTTTACCAGGTGGGCAAACTCTTTACAGCAGCTGTGGTCATGTGAGGAATCCTTGACAAATAATTGCTACCATCTTTACTTCAGGCAAGGAATGGACAAGTACTATTAATGACTCAAGGATGGAGTGCATTAAAGGTCCATCTGTTAATGGGGTAACATTCCTAGTTGGCAAGGGATCTGTATTGTAAATGAAACTCTTCAGGTTGGTAGCTAGCAGGAGTGTCTTCAGCATGCTGCAAAGAAAAAGGAAAAAGATCAGATTGTGCATAAATCTAGCAGAGACTGCCAAAAGTCTCTCCTGGATCTTGGTCTTGGCAAGGAGAAGCTGAAGGGCTGTCTGGACCTCATTCTTGTCCTTACCTGAATCCAGCAATCAGCTAGAAACTTTTGTCACAGAATGCCCTCATACACAGATAGGTTCTACAGACCCCCTTGACCCAGGACTTCCATGAACTTTAGGGTCACAGGCAGTTATGGGGAGCGTCCTCTTGTAGAAGAAGCACGAGAAGAATAAGAATGATATGCCTCTGTTGTAGTGAAGCCCTGTGGCAGAGGTGGGTGAGGCCAGGATGATTCTTTAGGTGCACAGAAACCTGTACTGGAACCATAATGAAAACTTAGCATGTGTAGACTAGAGAGATCTTACTCTCACAAAGTCCAGAGAGGAAAGAGACTGGTCTGTCATGAGTGCTGAGCTCCCACTAGTGGTGTCTTTGGTCTTTCCATTTCAGATTCCTCCAGTCCCTAAAACATCCAACCACTCTGAAGATTGCTGCTGGGAGCTCAGCTCCAGCCTGGGGCGAAAGGGACTGACCACAATTATCTATCCCTATCCTCTCAGGGCAGAGCCTGTGAGATCCTGGGGAAGGAGGACAGTCAGGACTTTCTGGTGCTGGTGCAAGCTCTGGAGGGAATCAGCCTCTCTGATGACCAGCTGACCTCCACCTGGGCTGTCCTGGCCGCCATTCTGCAGCTGGGGAATATCTGCTTTACCTCCTATGAGGTACACCAACCCTTGGCAGCTTGGGAATGGGGATATTTGTGCTGTTAGCCTGTCTAATGGGACTGGGGACGTTATTCTTGACTGAAGATTACATCCTTTGAAGACTATTCTGTTCTTTTGATATTAGGCTCTAGACTGATCTAGGCAGGGACAGAAAATGGGAGGCAACCAAAGGTCCATAGAGCTTGGGTGGCTCTTTAAGGAACCAAAATGAATTTGATGTTTCTCCCAGGCTGTGACCAGCTCTGTGAGATTAGGTTCTGTTGAGAACATTAAGACTAGTAGAACTTAGTATCCCATCTGTAGCTGAATCTGTTGTTGTTCTTCATTATTTAGAAAGAATCTTATGAACATGCAGCCATTGCCAGTGACACTGAGATTCAGATTGTGGCCAATTTGTTGCATGTCTCAGCGGATTTCCTCCAAAGTGCTGTCACTCACCGTGTAACTGTGAGTACCTTTTTGGTCATTTCTCATGCATCCTGAAGCATGGAATGCCCCAGCCAAATGCTCTGTCAGCAGAAGAGCCACCTCCTTATGAGATCCAAAATCTGGGACGTAACAGCAGATTGCTGTGCTGGATCAGTAAGGGGATGAGCTGGATCCCTTAAGGCAGTTCTGTAAAGATGGCAGAACTCACATCTAGGAGGGTTCTTTTCTGACATGAGGTGGCTTCTGGCCAGCAGCCTCCTACCCTGAAATGTGGCTATTTATTAACCAGGCTGTCTTCCCTGGGGATTTGAAAAAAAAAAAGTGTTTCTGAGATAATAGTAAATTCAGGCTCTTTATGTATCCAGGTGACATCTTATGATCGGATCTTCACCCCTCTGTCTGTAGAAGGAGCCATCGAAGCCAGGTGACTTCTGCTGTTGTCTGGGTTGGTGAGATGCACCCAAAGGGCTCTGCAGTAATTGGTTTTACTCCCCTGTCCTACTCAGGGACTCCATTGCCAAGACTCTCTATTACCTGCTCTTTGAGTGGCTGCTGCTGAGGATCAATGAGTGGCTGGCTCCCTGGGAATCGGACTGTGCCCTGGGCATTGTGGACATACAGGGGTTTGAGGTTGCTTTTCCTATTCTTTTGATATTTTGTGGGCTGCAAGTGCATGTGCTGATTCTCCTCAGTCACTGCCAGGAATGAGAGGGTAGCTGATGGGTGGGTTTTCTTTATGGTGTTCTGTTTCTTCTTCTTTTTTTTTTTTTTTCCCCCCCAGAAAAGAGACAGTAATTGTACCATGTAGATGTCTGCATTCAGCAGGCTACTTTTTTTCAGAGGCAGTAGAGAAGTGCTCCTTTGGGATGCTATTTAGCACTTTTACTGTAGATTGTTGTGGATTAACACCTGGAGGAGTCAATAGTCTTCCACAGCTGTGAGGCACAGGTAGAATCCCAAAGTACATAGAACTGGGTAGTCCTGGTGTGTAAGCGGTGTCCTAACCATTGTAGGCAATTAACAATCTCATCTCAGAGTGGTTTCTGATGCTCCCACCATGTCAGTGTTGCACATTTGATACCTTTGCATGAACAGATCAGTATGGTGCTGCACAGATTGTGAACATTGCTTGCTTTGGTTCTGTCATTCAGAGGAAGAGGAAAATGGTTTAGTTTTAAATCAGAATGAAACCAAGATTTCAACCAGCTTGGTCCATCCACTGAATTAGCTCATATACTGTATTAAATACATATCAAAACTATCTTTCATCAAGTATACTGGAATTTAGAAACCAAGTTAGCTGAAAGGACACATGGAGATTTTAACTCCATGGTTTGATTATCACCTGAAGAAGGTTTGACAAAACCACCAGAAGTTTCTTAGAATATTCACTTTGACACAAATTCCTGGAAAAAGCAGCTCAGACTCCTTTCCCTGCAGCCTGTGTTCTGGTGTTCATCAGTGGTTTGAGGAGCCAGATCATGCATCAACCTGCTTTGATGGACCCAACCCAGAAAAATACCTGGTATAAACCTTCTGTACTGATGAAGTGAGCTGAATGAGATAATTCTTAATAAATCACGTTTTAATTACTCTTGATGCTACTACTGAGAGAAGCAAGAAAACCACTTTTAATGTACTTTTAATCTAACTGCTCCCATTTATTCCCAAAGACTTGGAAAAAGCTGGAGGTATGTTAACACTAACATTTACAGTTTATTTCTTCTCACATGATTCAGCATATCCTGCTTTTCTGTTATTCCCAGCCTGAACAGGGACAAATCCAGAATTCACAGAAGTTTCTGGAGAGATTCCCCTTAATCCATTAGGCTTTGGATCAGGCCAGGGACAGAGGTAGTGCATATAATTTTGTAAGCAAGGGCCCTGCAAGGTGTTACCTTTTGAAACTGAGGTTAGGGTAGCATCTAGAGTTCTGGGTCAGGAATTGTTACCCTTGTAACAAGCATACATCTATGTCTGTCCCAGTGAGCTTCTGGGGGCTTCCCAGACTTGTGGTAAGTAAAAATAAGGCAGAGGAGGGCCTTGAAGTGGTATGTGCTCATCAAGACCTGTGAGTTTTATACTTAGAATTTCTGTTAAAATCTGTGTGTTCTGTTATATGTTCCATTGCTTTCAGCATTTACATGTGGGGGTGTGCATCCAGAGCAGATCTCTCCTTTGTGCTCCTTCACCATTTGTCTTGCCTCTTGCTTTTCAGCCTAGTCAATAAACCATGTCAAGAGCTTGAAAACCAGACATAAGAGGATTTGAATTTTTCAGGTTCATGCACACACACTTAGTGATCAAAACAAGCTGCCTGAGCCAGCAGGTCAGATCAGCACCATTTAGTGCTGTGCATTATCCACAAGAAGACAGGACCTTCTGGGCAGGCTGTGGGTTGGAAGTGATGAGGTCTTTTTGTCTTTGCAGGATCTGGGTGTGAACAGCTTAGAGCAACTCTGCATCAACTTTGCCAATGAGCATCTCCAGCGTTTTTTCAGCCAGACTGTGATTGCCCAGGAAGAGGTAAATGGACCTTACACCAGCAGGTGAAAGGGCAGCACATATGGAATGAGTTGAGGCAGTCTTTAGCAGGGGAGCAGGAAGCTGAATAGACCTGGCCCTCTTGAGCAGTACCTATGGAATACTTGTTGAAAGAGCTGGGTATTTAATATCTTTTACTAATTCTGTGGCAAATTAAGGGAAGGGGAGTTTCTTAGTGTCTTGCTCCCTTTTACAGATTTTATAAGTGAGTTGGTCAGGATCAAGGCCCCCAGACCTGAGCTGCTACTTTTAAAACATGTTTGAGAGTATTTTATGTTCCATACCTCTCCTTGAGATAAAAATGTATTTATTAGCCTTGATCAGTCTAAGAAAGCCTTTTACATTTCACTTCATCAGTTTGTTTAGCAGGCCCCCTCTCTTAAATCAGGAACATCATTAGTGGCTTTAGAAGAAGTTTCATAAGACAAAACCAGATAATTCTAGGCAAGTTCCTAACAGCAGTGAAACATTAACTTCCTGAGGAATAAACGAAATCCTTCTGTTAACTCCCTCCATTTGTTCTTGTTTGCATGGCTGGATTTGACTGTTTGGTCTTTAACGTGCAGGAGGAATACAGCCAAGAGCATCTAGCTTGGATTCCTATTTATGAGATGTACAGTGAATCATGCCTGGATTTCATTGCTGCAAAACCCCATGGCATCTTGTGTATCCTGGATGACCAGACTTCACTGACACAGGTGAGAAGCTCTTCTCCTCTTATGTGATTGCTTTCACAGGATGGTTATGGTGAGGCGCTTACACAGATTGAACAGGGACTGTGTTCACACTAGTATTAGACACTTTTACCTTCAGTTTAACAGCAGCTTTTCAGCCTACTGAGTACGTTGCAGCAGCAGGAAACGTTTGTCACGTCCTTTACAGGCCACTGACCACACTTTCCTCCAGAAGTGTCATTACCATCACGGAAACAGCCCTTGGTACACCAAGCCCAAGCTGCCTTTGCCAGTCTTCACTGTGAAGCACTATGCAGGCCCTGTCACCTACCAGGTGAGCTGGCAGGGGGCTTGGAGCAGTGGGAGCAGTAGGGCAGCTTAGAAGCACCCTGTGGATGTCCCATTGGACCAGCTCTGAGTACCATGAGCAAAGCCCTCTCTTTGCAACTACACATCCAGCCAGAGCATCAGCTTATCAGAAATTAGGAGATCCTTACTAGGAGAGGCAACTAAGCTGCCTCTGGGCAGAAGCAAAACAGATAATGGCCTCAGCTACTCAACAGCTTCTCTCAGAGCCCTGAAAGTGCAGAAAAGCTGTAGCCACAGAAAAAAAAAGTGAGGGGTCAAAGCTTGCTGGGCAACGTGAAGAGGAAAAGGAGCAATTCTTCCTAAAAGCAGAAGTCATTGTCTCCTCCACTTCTGGTGGAAGCAGGAATAGCAAGCTTCATTCTCCAGGGCTTTCACCTTGTTTCACCATTCCAGCTGTTTGCCCCAAGTCCATCTGTGTGTAAGAGGGGTGTTTGCCTGTCTTGTTGGTGGTCTGAAGGGTGTAATAAATCAGACTTTGCCTCTGCAGGTCCACAAGTTTCTTAATAAAAACCGTGACCTGCTGCGGCCAGAGGTGCTGGATATCTTCTCTCAGAGCCGCCTCAAGGTACCGTAGTGGTTCAGGATGAAGATGTCTGCTGCAGACACCTAATGAGCCACTCATGGCTTTCACGTGAGAAGCAGAAAGATCCTCATCAAGTGTCAGGTGAACCTGGAGAAACTGCGATGAGTTTTGTTCTTCTGAAGGACACTTGTGAATTGAGCAAGTGGTCTTTGCCTGCACTTGATGCATTTTCTATACAAAACATACAGACTGCAGCTGGGTTTTTGTCACTGCTAGGGGCAAGGGAGATTGCTCCCCCCTGTTTCAGATAGAAGAGGTTGTTCTTCCCATGTACTTCAGGGAGTTTTGGTTATTTCCCTGTTTTTGCAGATGGTGTCTCACATTTTTCAGAAGGCTAAATCTGCCTATAGTCAGCAAAGGGAGATGGGGGCCAGAGGCAAAGGGCTCAAGCCTCATGCCTCCACACTGGTGTCCAAATTCCAGCAGTCTTTGCAGGACCTCACAGCCAAGCTGAGAAGGTGAGTGATGCTGTTATGGTGCTATGCCTGCACTGGGCTGATTGCTGCACCTAGAAGACTGTGAAATCTTCCCAGGTCAGCAGAGAGGATGACCAAAAGTTCTTCCTTCTTTTTTGCAGGAGCCATGTCTTGTTCATTCGGTGCTTCACCCCTAATCCCAAAAAGGTAGGGCAGCACTCTGAACTCCTTATGGAGTCCCTCAGTTCCTTGAAGTCCAGTCCTCTCCAGCCTCTATACTTTTGCAGTTGGGGTTTGGACTCAGTTGCTTCATTTTACAGCTTGAAACATTTCTTGTCCCTTCTTTGTCTCTCACGCTTTCCTGTGACCATGTGAGCTGACCACATGCTGGAGGATAAGAAGCCAGTGTCAGTTGGGTGTCAAAGGACGTGTTGGGTTTTGTGTTCCATCACCCATAGACCATGGCAAGATCTAACTCAAGAACAGAACAATAGAAGAAGACCCTTTCTAAATTCTGTGCCTTCTGTCTCCTTTCTTTTGTCTTGATTTATTTCTTGTTCTATTTTTTTTTTTCTTCTGCCTTATATTCGCAGCTGTCAAATATCTTTGATGTGGAGTATGTCACTTGTCAGCTGCGACACTCTGGGATACTGGAGGCCATCCATATTAGAAAGGAGGGATACCCAGTCCGTCTTCCATTCCAGAAATTCCTAGCCAGGTACAGTGGTGTACTGGCTTGGGAATACCCAGCCATTCAAGGCCTGGATGAATGCACCAAAAAATTGTGATTTCTTCTCTTCTGAGGACCCCATTCACAGCCTTGGCTTCCATCATATCTATGTCTCATCTTCCAGGTATGGCCTCCTGGCTGGGCGAAGGCACAGCTGCTTGGAGGAGAGGGAAGGCTGTGCAGCAGTGCTGTCTCGTGTGGTGGGGAACTCCTCAGATCTCTATCAGATTGGAGTAACAAAGGTGATGCCTACAGAGAATCCCATCTTAATAGCACAGGCCCAGTCATCTGTTCACTGGCTGTCATTGGACAGGGAGCAGCTTGGTGCTCTGCATAAAGAGGAGAACACTGCATGCTTTCACCTCCTTTTTGCTTCGTCTCAAGTGTAAAGCAGGGATGTTTTGCACTTCAGATGAAGAAACAGGAGATACAGGCTCCAGGCTGGTGTAGTAGCATGGCCAACTCCTCTGTCTACCCAGCATTCCTTGATGGAGATCTGGGCTTCATCCTTTCCTGCCTACAAACCCTCGTCACTCCCTGATTGCCTGTTTTCCACAAATGCATCCACCTCTGTCACCTGCATCTGCACCTCCTGCCCTCACCAGCTGAGGGAGCACAATTTCCTTAGCACGGAGCCTCAAAGGCTACAAAGAGATAAACCAGAAGCTTTTGTTATTGATCAGCTCTTAAAGAAGCAGGCTGATTTCCCTGTGGGTCAGCAGCTGTTCCCTTTGCCCAGGTCTTTCTGAAGGAGCAGGCCAGGCAGCTTCTGGAGAGGCGGTGGAACCAGAGGCAGACTTGGGCCGTTGTTACTCTGCAAAGGAACTTCCGATGCCTCCTTCGCCACAGGCGCCTCCGTGTCCTCCAGGAGAAAGTCACAATCATTCAGGCTCACTTCCGAGGTTACCAGGCAAGGTCAGGAGTCAAAGGCCAGGCAAGGTACAGCCTTTTGTCCTTGCCTGGGACAGCAAGGTGGGGATGTCTCTGGCCAGGCCTCTCCTCGTATTGGCTTCTGACTGCTCTTGTGAGGGGTATCTTGTTACTGGAATGGTGGAGGAGGGACTTCCCAGCCTGGTTCCCAACACTAAGCAGAGGTTCCAGGGGAAGCACAGCTGCTGTCAAAACTGTCACAGTAACTTGCCTGTGCTAAGGCTGATAACTAGACTAAAAAATGAAGGGAAAACACATGAGAGGACCAAGCTTAACACAGTAAGACCAAGTCTGGACTAGCTGAGTGTATTAATGTTCTATTTGACCCACACCCTCAAACTGAGTTCACAGTCTGCCTAAATTTTGTTGCTGTTTTCCTCATTAGCAATTCTTCTCATCTCACATCCCTCTAGGAAGCGTTACAGGAAGCTGAAGAAAATGTTAGTGCAATTTAAGACCGTGATTTTAATCTCCAGATCTTTGATTCAAAGGAAGAAGCACTGCAAGGTAATAACACTCTTCTCAGGACCAGGTGTACTGCAGGAGCCAGTTCTGCTCTAAGTAGAGAGAGACAGTGACTGGGTGAGGCCAGGGCAGGGATGGCTTTAGAATGTTTCTTGGTAATGATCTGATAAGGTGTCCGTCACCTCTGGCTGACATCAATGTAATCAAAAGAAGGATCCACAGAGGCTGGAGCCTTCTCTCCCTAGATGAAGTTCAGAATTGGCAAAGGTAGTAGAAATGCAGCTGATTTGTATGTGAACTTCTCTAGGTTGCCCCACACAAGACATGAGCTTATTTCATTTGTGGCCTCCAAAGGTGCTGCTGTGCTCAAGCTATAAGAGTGATTAATCTTACTCTTTTAGTTGTAAAATTCAGTTCTGGTGTTTTCCCAGATGATAACCGAAATGCGAGTTTTTTTCAGTCCACAGTGGTCCTTCCCTTACCCTTTACAGCTCCCCCAGGCTGCTGAAGCCCTTGGCCTTTTGGAAATCAGATGGGCCCATAGCTGGGGTGAGAACGGAGTAGCAGTGATTTGAGAAGATGGAAAATTGTATGCAGTAGAGAGCCATGGTTCTGTAAGATAAGTTGAATGTATTTTGCACAAACTATTGAAAAGAAAATTGAAAGTAGGAAATCAGACCCCTTAATTTCAGCGTAGTAATTCACATGCCTATAGGCGTCAGCTTCACAAGGAAGGGACCCAGTACAGCTGCTGGTATGACTAGCAAAGGATGGGGCAGATGGTTCAGGTCAGCGTTATTGCTGGAAGACTGCAGAGGTTTCTTCTGTCATGAGATGCCCAGACCAGTGTGTGTTTTTATTTCTATTCCTGCTCCTCCATACTTGGACAGGACCCAGCTTTTCTTTCTCCCAGGTAACCACAACAGCACAGCTCTCTGTACATGCAGTAGCAACAATAGAGGTCTCAAAGTTCACCTGCTGTGGAGTTCCTCCTTTCACCCCCACCTCACAGCCCTGCCCTTTGGACTTTAGCAAGCCTACTGTCTTTCTCAGCCCAACCCTCATAACCTCTCATTTAGTCACACCATTCTGCAACATACAGAAGCAGGAGAGAGAGGAGAGACTGAGACTCTCCTTTTCCATCTTGGAGTAGGAGTCGGGTGAGTAGTGAGGCTGGAGGGACAACAGAATGGATGGGGAAGGGCAGAGCTGCAAAGGAGTTTGGCTTGTGGTATCCCTCCCAGCCCTTCTAAAGGGATCCCTCACTGTGGATGACTTCTGTCCATGCTCAGGATGCATTACCATGTTCTTTGATGCTTGAGGAGGCAGGTGAATGTTTATGACAGCTTCTGTGTGCTTTTCTCCTAAGACAAAAGACATCAAATGCTAGGCAAGGGAGGAAAGGTGTGGCAGGGATGCTGGGCAGGTGGTGAAGGCTTTTGCTGCTGAGTTGTGTTGTGCGGGGCAGGTGATGTTTCAGCAAAGCCAAGGACTTTTCCTGGGCATCCTCTTCTCAATACTTCTTCACAAGAAGGCTCTGCAGCTGTTCTGTCATTTTATCTGCTGGAGCAGGACAACAGCTCTTGCCCATCCTCAGTCTTCCCCCAGAATCCTCAGATTTATCTGCAAGTTACCTCATATACATCTTTTCTTACCCTCCATCCCCCTTTCATCTCCTAACAGCAGGAGTTAGAAGAAAGGAAAAGAAGAAAGAGGTCCCTGGACAGCCCCAACCAAGTAATGGTAAGTTGTCAAACAGCCTGGGAGAGTCTGAGGTAAAACAAGCCAGCCTCTTGGGGGCTCTCCTTCCCCTATGCCCAGGTTTGCTGGGGAATATCAAATCGAGTGTACAGAGCCCACCTCTATGCTGGAAACCTAGAAGCAAGAATGCAGTTTAGCCTGGTATAAAGAGTCTTCTAATCCATAGCTTATTATCATAGTTCATTACTTCATTAGTTCATTACTTCATTAGTTAAATGTTTCCCAGTCTCTGGGCATAGTCAGGGATCATAAAATGGTCCTGAGGCAGAGTACTGGATTTGTTCACAGCCTTGGACCTGTTCTTTGGAGCTGGGAGGAAGACTGGTTTTCATAATCGTGTTCTGTTGTGAAGGGTGGGAATGAGACAGTTCTATAGAAATATATTTATGGAAGATGTTGTAGAGGAAGGCAGGTATTAAAGGCCTCACAAGAAGTTTAACCTGTATCAGCTACTATACCTAACACTGAGTGTACGTTTGCTATGATGCGTGTAGCAAGAGAATCTGAATTGACATCATCCAATTTCGCACAGATTTGTTGGTAACAGTGGGAATACTTAGCACTGGGTACTCTTGCAATATCAGCTGCTTCCTCAGGTGTGGGTCCAGGACTGTGGGATTTCACAATCCACTTCCTGAACACACCACTGAAAAGCTAGACACAGTCAAGTATCTTCTTATGGTCAAAATCAAACTGATTAAAAAAAAGCTGTGAATCTATCTTCAGGCATTGCTGCAAGTTTATCTGGAGGGAGATGTCAGAATAGTGTGCTGGTGTGTAGAGGCTTTACTGTGCAGATCTTCAAAAACCAAAATACAAACCCCAAAAGCCCAGGCTTTGTGTCTTTTCTTGGTTTCATAGTGTCTTAATCTGGGTAGTGCCCTGAACTGCTGTTATATGCAGACCCTGATGTTGATGTGTGGTTTTGCATTAACCCCTTTGCTTCTTACCTTGCACAAGTACATGCATCATGCAAGGTGTGAAATGGTGAAAAATCGAGGCTCATTGGCCAGATTCTCATCTGAATTATCCAGGTACAGACCTGAGCTTCTTTAGGAACATCCAATACAGTGGTGTGCAACAAAGATCAGAATCAGGTCTCTCTTTATTTATGCTATAGCATTCTGGTGCTGAAGAATGAAAACGACAGGAAAAGGAGCAGGAGGAAATGGCCGTTACCCTTCAGCTGCCATCTCTTCTGTGCAATATGCCAAACTTGTTAGTAATGAGAGATGAGTCAAAGAAAGTCACCCTTCCTGTCACTTCCCTTTGTGGCAGTTGATTTTATTTTTTCAGGAATTACTCACCTTTCTCTCCCACGTCGTATACCTGTGTTAATACAGTACTTCCCTATTTGTACAGTTTCTCAGTGTTGCATAGGCAGAAATTGCTGGTTTCACTCAGGTGCTCACTCCTTGCTCTAGCCAGCTTTCCAAAGGCAGCTTTACCCAGTCTCAATAGAACAGCTCAGGGTTCACACGTTGTTTCACTGCTGGTACCCCCGTGGCTGACACACTCTCTCCACAGGATGTGGGGCTGCTGGAGATCCCTGCAGAGCTTGCTGCCCTCCTGCAGTTAGCTGAAGGTGAGAAATCCTCTCTCTCCCCTCCCTTTCCTGCACTGTTCTACTTTACCATTTATTTCCTTATTTTCTAGCAGTTTAAGTATGTGCTCATTCCACCTTCTGTCTGTCACCGGGCTTGTACTTGATTTTATTACTATTGCAATGTAAACATGATAGAGGCAAGTGGTGTCATGTGTATTGTTTCCCAGCACCACAGACTGGAAAAGTGACTTGGGCCAATGGGCGGATCACCAGATGAAAATTCAGTATCTTTATTACCTTTTTCAGCTCTTCTCTTGAGCTGATAGAAACGATGAGAGCGATGGTGTAAAACTTTTTGGTCAAAGTTACATGAGAGCAAACTGTTTAATGAACCCAGGGCTTTTGTGGAGCTGGATATCTGACGTGTTAGGAAAAAAATCTTTAAAGGAAGCGAAGCTGAATCAGTCAAAACTACAGTTTTGGCACTTTCAAATAAATATTTTTATGTTTTCATTCAAAACTACTTGTGCAAAAGCAATTACCTCTTTTAAAAGAGAAGTAGGTAGAAACAATGTAACAATTAAGGGAAACACTTTGGGTGCCATGGAAAGTTTTTGGTTTTGTTTTCAAATTGCCAATATACAACTAACTGAAATAATTTCCCAAGTTGCAAACACAGAAGCTGTGCTACGTTGATAAATCTCTTCATCTAGGAAGATGTTTGCTCCTCTCTTACCCATAATAAATACCCCATTTCGTGCCTCTTTGTGAAGATGTCCCATTTACATGTCGACTGAACAGATGTCAGCAATATTTCTTCATAGGCTTAGTGTTTCCTGCCTTGTAAACTCCAGGTGCTGGAGTCTGAAAGATCAGAGGTATAAAAGCTCTCTCCTGAAGTTAGGCCTTGTGGTCCTAAGGAAGTGAGGATGTGCCTGCTTGAGGGTTTAGGGGAGCAAGGGTGGACTGGGTGTCCCTGGAGCCAGGGAGCTGGTCCAGGTGCTCAGGCAAGGTTGGAGGCGTGTTAGCCACGTGTTGCACTGTGAGTTGGATGTGTTCTGGCTGTCTTTCCAGCTGCTACAACACAATTGACCTTTCTCTTGCAGGTCAATACCGAGCACAGGCCAACCAGATAACTGAGGCACTGCCTCCAGAAGTGAAGGTCAAAGATGACCTCTCCCTCCCACCCAGCATCAACAGCCATCCTTTCTCCTCTTTCATTAAGTCACACTTCCAGGTGGGAACTCTTATTATATCCCTTCATTGCTTCCCCACTGAGGAGACACGATAGTTCTAGTAACACTAGGAGCAAACTCCATTTCTGTCCTTTCGTCTCTTTGTAGAAGACAGATTTCCCTGCCCCTGGTCAGCCTCTGCAGCACCCCTTAACCCATCTGGATGTCGAATACCAGGAGAGTGCGCTTGAGATCAACAAGCTGGTAAGAGACATCTTTCATGATCTGGGCCCTGTTGAAGGACAGGTGGGCATAAAACAACGTTTTGATGCCATTATACAACACGATGCTGGTGGTGGCTACTGTTCTTACAGTACCTGGTGTGTTAGGAAAACAGAATAAATTGCTCCTCCTAGGCACTGGAGCAGGCTGGCAGAGATCACAGGCAGCCCCTTAGGGTTGCTCTGTTCTTGGTGAGGTATAGAGCAGAGCCACAGCCCAATGGGATCAAAGTGAATTGTCTGATGATGTAGCCTCTGAATTCAGCAGAATATGTGGGAATTAGGCTAAGCTTTAGTTTCCCAATATTCCAGATTCAGTAGCAATGGCAGTATAAGGGAGATCTGTCTTCTCCAACCCTTATTCTTATCTGATAGTCATAAAAAAGTTTAACACAGATCTTTTCCATGATGTGGTTTAGAGTAAATATAGCAATTTTATCTCAGGCACACAGTTGAGTCAATGCACAACAGGGGACAGTGACCTGTTGTATAAAGGCTACAAAAAGGCAGGGACTCTGTCATCAAGAAAACTACACCTGGAACCACACCCCAATTCTGTAGTGTTTGCGTGAGGGTGATGGAATTATTTAATCTCTGTGGATGTGAAGCACACATTTCTTCTTGAAACTGGTCATGTTGACTCTGAAAATAGAATGAAACTTCACATAATTTCTAAATAGATCTAGTAATCCTTTTGAGAATTACATGCAATTAAAATAAACCTGTTAGGAAAGTAATACCTAAAACCAGTCTCTTGTTTTGTCCTAACGATTTCAATCATAGAAGAGTATAAGCTTCAATAAAATCCTGTGCATTTTAGGATTGTGTTCAAGCAGACTACTATTATTTTTCCTGAAGGTCAAAGACCATTTTTCTCCACTGCTAATCAAAAAAATACAGCTATTTCTTTGGCAAAGGCTGTAATACATAGGGAGTTACTACAAAGAATTCTATGACAACTAAACAACCATTTCCTGTTTTTTTTTTTCCTCAGTAAATCTCTGGCATGCTTATCTCTAGTAACCATTTTAGGAAGTTTTTCTCTGATAAAAAATTAGACCACCACTCATAAATGTTCTTTCCAAAGCTGTCCATAGCACATTTTAGAAAAAGAAACTTAATCTAATTGACATATTGAAGTGTAAAGGCTGAAAGAAATTATTCTATACCTAAGAATGAGAAATGCAAATTACAAAGATATCTAAGAGGTTGATACACGTAGCCAAGAAGCAGAATCATTGCTGTAGTGAGGTTGAGTGGTTGAGATACCACATTTCATACTACTTGATATAATACTAACCACACCAAATGCTTTTTAACATTCTGTTGTTAGTTTTTCCTCATGTCTGGTCACAAAGATCAGCTAGGCATCATAATTTCTTTTACGTATTTTTACAGCTAGGTAGCCTGTGAGCTCAGACACAGTAAATAATAACTTATGGTACCTTGCTTGTGCTTCTGAGCTCTACCTAAAAAAGGGGAACTATTTTGCCCAGGAACAAATTCTGAGTCAGAAGCATAACTAAGGAGAAGCTGAAGTCATCCTGACCTTCTTCTCAGGGTCCAGTCTCTATGAACACTGCCTCCCAAATTCCCCAGAACTTAAGTGGTGCACAAAACCTGAGAATAGATCCCGGTCTGAGTGTTGGGTACTCTTCTTGGCTCATAAGCACCCTGATGTCTACAACCCAGGCTGTCACCTTACAACACAGTTTGGGACAGAGGGTTACAGTTAGAACTCTCTTTTTTTTTTTCCTCTGGATGCTTCTAGATTTTGCGGTTCATTGGTGACAAGAGTCTCCAGGGCTGGCAGGAGGTACTTCTGGGCAACTACATTGCAAAGAGAGGTTTGAATAATGTGGCACTGCGCAACGAAATCTTCAGTCAGGTGGTTGCCCAAACATGGAGAAACCCAGATATGGAGCACAGCCAGCGAGCCTGGGTCCTGATGGCAACCTTGCTGAGCTGCTTTGCCCCTTCACCGGCACTGGAGAAGCCATTGCTTAAGTAAGGAGGAGAAAAGACCCAGTTACACTTCCATTAAGGTTAAGAGAGATGAGCAGTGTGCTAATGCAGTTCCTTTTCCCTAGATTTGTGTCGGATCATGGCATGGAGGGCTACAATGCTGTTTGCCAGCGCAAGATCTTGACAGCAGCACAGTACACAGAGGTAGACTCTACGTTGTCTCGGGCCTACCCTCCCACTCAGCTGGAGTGGACTGCAAACCAGAGGAAAGGGAAGATGGTGCTGGATGTTCATACCTTTAATGGTAACTTATGTTTCTGCCCTTGCACTGTCTTCTAGTCCTTAAAGACTGTTCCAGTGCAGAAATCAGCATTCAATAATCACTTCCCTCAGCTTAGTAAAGAGGAATGAGAGCACCAATTGCTTCTGGCTAGTACCACCATGGGGGATACAAACATGTGAACCTAGACCCAAACCTCCCAAAGACCAGAAGTCTAGGCCTGATGAGACCTGCTACTCAGGCCAAAGGCTGAGATTCTTCTGGGTTTGGGCCCATCTTAACAGAGGACTATTCTGGTTGTGCATCTCCATGGGTCCAGTCTTCCCTTATCCATTACTGCATAGCCCACATAACAGCAACTGCTGTCTCTGTTAGAAGGACTTTCTGCCTTTCTCCCTTCTCAAATATTGGCTTATGCTGCCTTTTGAGTGGTCAGAAGTTCTGTGAATTGAATGCAGAACATTCTGGCTCTCGCTCCTTCATGGGTGCAGTGGTGGCCCAAGTGAACCAGGACACTCAAGGGTTTTTGGCTGTCAGGTTGGGAATACCAACACATGCCATCAGTTATTTTGCATGTTGATGTGTTCATGTGGGTCTCTCCACGAGCTTTCAGTCCTCCTGTGGTCCCTGCTCAGGAGTGCGTAAGACTTTCCAGCTGGGCTCTGCCTGTGTTCTGCAGAGCTTAGGGGTTGCTTTGGGTCCTGCTGGGGAGGCTGTGGTACTAACTTTCTTTTCTGTGCTAGAGGAGAAGTTTTCAGCTGAGGTGGAGTCCTGGATGACTGGGGAGCAGTATGCAAGTGGGCTCCTGCATGCCAGGTACTGCCAGAGGACAGGAGAGGGTCTGGGGGTGTGAAAGAGGCTGCCATTGGCTCTGAGGTTCAGACTGACTGGGGCTGCAGGCAGGAATTTATATGGTTAGATGTGGAATAGCTACTCCTTATCCACTGGCTTGGGCTCTCTCCTTCACCCTTCCCTCTGTGTGCATAAATTGCTGGCCTCTTTAGGAACAGGGGAATCACTGGTGTGATTCTAGTTTTTTCCTGATCCTGGGACTTAATATTTGACTCATAGCCTAAATCTTACAGACCTAAGTCAGGATAGACCTGCAAGAAGAAACTGAATGCAATGTTTTCCTTTTTCTCCCTTTCCCCTGCCTACCTGGACACCTTTTCTCTCCTTTTTTTTCTGTTACCAGGGGTTGTGATAAGAAGTCTCGAGGGTGGTCTATCTCCATATTTACTGGCAACACATGGCAGGACCTGCTGGGCTGTGACTTTGTGCTGGACCTCATTGGAGAGATGGAGGACGTCAACAACCTCAGCGGTCCCTCTCAGTCCTCAGCTGAGTACCCCATCACTCCTGAAATGGACAGAAACTTCCTCCACGAATCCGACCCGGACTCGTAAGTCACCTAATCCTCCTCCCTCACCAGCTGTGGCCCTATCACCCAGTGGTTCTTTCTCTTAACTCTCTGTACCGTCCTCATCTCACTTTCCTTTCCAACAGGATCCCTCCTGCTCCAGGCATCCGGGCCCCTACCTTCCCACCACCTAGCCTGCCTCCAGAATTTGACAGTCCTTATCCAGGTAGGCTCTTGTCCAGAACTGTGAATGACATTGGGAAGGGCTAGATGGGCCCCAGCCAGGGAATCAGAGCAGACAGGGAGACAGGTGGTTCTTCTTGATGTAGAGAATGTTCCTTACCTGCCTTGTCACCAGACTTCTCTCTGCTCTTAGATTCAAGATTCAGAGATGACCTGAGGACACCTGTAGGCTTGGATCACTATGTGGATGATCTCTTCAGCAGTGTGCTGCATCAAGGCCCCAGAGTACCAGTAAGTCCCTTGATGGTCCCCTCTTTTTTTCTTTCTGTGGCTCTCCTGTCCCTGTGACTCCCTCACGCATGCCTCTGCTCAGCTCAGACACATGTTTGGATGGCTTTCCCTCTGTGCAGTTTCTCTCTCTGAGATCAGTTAACTGTTCTTTCTTGAACCAGGATATGGAGAACAGGGAGATTCTGACTGGACGCATGAAAGGAGGTGGGAAGATCGGACCCACACAGAGAGGAGTCTTTCCTTCTACAGGTCTGTAAGGGGATGGGGACAGCTGGGAATACCTGTGGGGCTACAAAAGCTTCAGTGAGCACAAGTCAGGACGTCACTTAAATGCTAATTATTGCCTGGGCTCAAGTGACTAAAGAGCACTGGTCTTTAGCGTAGGTCATCAGAAGTTGCACTCCTTCCAGGTGCTGGGAGACAGATGCTTTGGGGAAGGTACTATGTAAGGGTACCACCTTTGTTCTGCTTTATATTTATCTCTTAAGTTGGTCTTGGGGTCAATGCAACAGGCAGCTTGCTTCTGACCCAGGCCACATCTTTCCTAGGGCAGTAGTCATAAGTCCCGTATCCACACTGTGCTTTTACAAAATAGTTGCTACCTTTCTCAGGGGAGGGTTTTAATCTTTGTTATTGCTTCCTTGCAGACTTTCCCACCATCTTTAGCTATTCCTTGGGTTCGTAAGTCTGAACCCTGCAGAGGTTCTGGTTTGTGTGTTTGGTGTTTTTACTTTTCCTCATTTCTATGGAGCTAAGACAGGTCTTTCAGTAGGGTGGAGTCAAACACCAATATATTGATGACACTGAGAAATCTGCATGTATAGGAACACACCCAGCTGTTTCAGAGAGGTGGAGAATGTCCTGTTCAGATCATTACTGAGACTGGGACTATTTTTGGGTATCGTCGGGGTCCTGGGGCACGACAAGCCCTATTACAGATCACTGGCCTGAGGCCAGTTTGTCACTCAGTGTAGGTAGGTCAGTGAGGGATGTGCAGATCTCTCTATGGCATCCCTGGGCCATTCTTACTGGCGAGGGTGAGGACATTGTGATTCAGTAGACCTGTGCTGCGTGCTGACTCACTCCCAGCTGAGACTGATCTCCATGCCCCTTGCTCTGCTGGCTTTGCCCTCAGTGGAATTTCTGTTTTGTGGCCTCATGTGGGACTTGACTGCTGGGAGCAGAGGAATTCCTTTCTCCCCACAGTTCATTCACATGATACACAATGCCACCTAGGCCAGGATACACCATTCATTCACCCATGCTACCTGCAGCAAGGAGACCAATATGGATATGGCACCCACAGAGATCTTTTCTCATCCCTCAAGAGAAACACTTCTCTGTAATCATACATAGGCAGGAGTTAATCTGCTGAGTCATGAAGGATGGTGGTGTCCTAAGCTAGACTGCGGAAGCAGGGTCTGGATACTGCTATTGTGAAATCTGGCAGGCCACACATTTCTCTTTGGTTTCTTTTTTCCACCTGAGTTTTGCTGTGTCCTGCTGTGTGTGAAGACATAAACCATTCACATGTCCCTGTGGTTGATGCGTGTGGAGGGAACCAGAGGTTCCCAGCCTGTGTGGGATTGATCAGGGCTCTGTCATCTGTCATTCCCCAAAGCACTGTGTTTATGGTCTTTTGCCTCCAGGCCTCTCTGGAATGACTCAAGCACCAGTTTACCAGGCCATGCCTTCAATGATGGCAATGCCAGCAGCCATGCCCATGATGCCAGCAGCTGGTGGGATTGCTCCTGTGCCAGGTAATAACACGGTGTTTCAGGAACTATGCAGGGGACGAGGATGGAAAGGTGGGTGTTAGAATGGAGCCTGTGCACCTGAATGGCAGGCAGGGTGCACAGTGAGCATTCAGGGAACAACTGCCCCTGAGCTCTTGCAGACGTGTGTGTCTTCCACAGCCGTGGTTATGCCCCAGCCTGCGATTCCAGCGGTAGATCCCAACCAGTTAGCAGCACAACAGCAAGCCTTCATCAACCAGCAAGCCATGCTCATGGTGAGTGGAAGGGACAGGTCAGGGGGAGCCCAGGAACTGGGGAAGAACGACGCACTGGTGCGTGTGCTGTGACAATGTTAGCCATGCCTCCCTCCTGCCTTAGGCCTGCTCTGTAACACTCTGTGCTTGTGTGCTTGAGTTTAGCTATATAAAGTTTGGATTATTTAAGTCTGCTAAACTGGGAACCCCCTTTTTGCCCCTTTGTGTGTATGGGAACACTGAGGCACTATAAGTGAGTAGCAGTGACAAGACCATGCTCCAGGAAGCCTCAGCTGTAATTCTCTTGTGTTTTTAATATGAGATTTGCTACAGATGCAGGTCTGCCGTGTTCTGCTTTCTGTACAAAGCCTTGTACAAAGCACGGAGGTCTTAGCCTATCTCACTGGTAGCTGAGTCTTTGAGTATTGTTAGGAGCTCTGCATACTTGGCTAGGTGGGAACAGACTCCCTGGGCATGCCTTGTCTTTTGCAATGATTTATATAGAACTTCTGTGATTACCAGTGAAAGAATGGGATAGCCTGACAGATGGTTGGTGGTTTTATGTAGCCTAGAGCTCATGGATGTTCCAATTCCTTCTTCCAGGCCCAGCAGATGACCCTTCAAGCCATGAACATATCCCAGCAACAGCAGCAGCAGTGGCAAAAGTCTCTTGAGAATTCAAAGCCAAGAGTTTCAAGTCCACCACAAGCCCGAGCCATGGCTCCAGCCTCAAGCCCAGGCCCAGCCACTTTCCCAAAACCCAATAAGCCCCCCAGAAGCCAGAATGCTGCATCATCACCAAAGGCTCCAGAACCACCAGCTAAGACAGAAGAATCGGTATGCCAAACAAAGAGTGGTGGTGAATTTGGTTTGAATTTCATGATTTGTGTTTGCTGTGCATCCCTTCCAGTGTGGCAGTGGTTTAGCAGAGAGGAGAGCAGAAAGCTATGCTTTCCTATGACACTGAGGCCTTTCAAACTCTGCTTGCTGAGTCTTTAAGATACAGGATCAAACCCTGGTGGTATTAGTTCTGTGGAGGTTTGGCTGCAGCGTTGGTTAATTAATTCCCAGCTGATCTGAATTTTTCCATAGGAAAATTCATTCACTTTGAGTTCTTTATCCCCCAGAAAGCTGTTTTGGGCCTCTAACATACTCCTTCTCTGGACTTGGTTGATGATTGCTTGGGTCAGAGACTGATCTCTTGGGGAACTCCAATAGATGGGGAGAAGTTGTAGATCAGAACTTGGTGAGGGAAGATCACCTCTGAACTTAAGGGCACTATGGAATTATCTGCTGGCCAGTGCCAACCAACCATGTTGTGAATTGCTTACAGGTTTATGACTACACAGAAGATCAGTTCTCCAACAGTGAAGATGATGACTATCCTCGGGAAACCTTCCAGCAGAAGAGAGAATATTTTCAGAAGATGGGTGAGTGTCTACCACTTGGGGAATTTCACTCTGCAACCTCCCTGGCATAACAAGGTGTTCTTGTTTTCTTCTCTGGAACCCTGCTAATCCCTGCAGATTCCCTGCAGGACCCAGCTCAAGGTCCCTTTTCTATGCAGGAGAGCAACAGATCCGAGTGAAGAAGGTCAGACCTCCTTCCAGAACCTGGACTCCTCCAGCAAATCCCCAGCCAAAGCAGCAGGAGGAGCCAGAGAAGAGGGAAGAGGAAAAACCTAGCCCTAAAATAGAGGCAGGTAAGATGCTGTGCAGTGGAGACCTAGGCTGGCTAACAAGCAGGAACTTTCCAGGAGCATCAGGCCAGGGTATAGGCAGGGGAGGAAAGGACCTGGCTCTCCGAGGAGTCTGCATCTTGACAGGAGAGGAAAGAGAGAAAGGTCTGAGCTTTGGGAAGTGCGATCCCAAGCAAGGCAGTGGAAGCATGTGGCCAGTTAGTCTAGCGATGAAAGACAGGGAGCTTCAAATGAGATAAAGGGATTTCTCCTATGTCTTTGCTAGTCTGTTGGTTAAAGCTATCATCCCAAATAGCTCCTGCTCCCTCCTTGCCACCTCCTGAGCCAAAACCAAAAAAACAGACACCAACAGTGAAGAAGGAGCCCCCTGTGGTGAAGCCTTCAGGCCCTGAGGCGCGGCCGGAACCCAGCCGGGAGATCCGCAACATCATCAAGATGTACCAGAGCAGGCCAGCCCCCGAGCCCCAGCCCATCGAGCCTGTCAGGTGAGAGTGGCTCCACCCAGGTGGGCAGGAAGGAGATGAGTGGGACTATATCTCAGCACTGCCTCATGGCTCCTTTGTGGCCATAACCCCTCTGCAGTCCTTGTAACTGTGTTGCCCATTTCCTTGCAGGAGAGTGTCCAAGCCATTTATAAAGAAGAATGACCCTAAAAATGAGGCTCTGGCCAAGCTGGGAATGATGAACCTCCCATCTCCCAAATCAGTGAGTTTCTTTTTCTATGATCACTTCAGAAGCTCAGCAGAGAGGGCCTGTATATCCAGTCTCCAACAGGTTGGGAGCTATCTAGTAGTGCAGTAGCAGCCAAGTGATTTCTTGTTGGGTTACTAGATAGCTGTGAGCTTGTACCATGGTGCTGCCCATTCTAGACTGGTTTCCAGTCTGTAAAGTCACTTGAGGTCTTGAAGAAAAAGCTCTGGAGCAGCAAGTCCTATGGTGGTGTGTTTAAGGCAGGCCTGGAAGCAAACAATTCCTGTTCCACACATTTGGCACCAAGATCTTAGCCCATGAATGTCTTTTTTGCCCTTCCCAACTGGAGGCTTCAATATCAACTACTTGATTCTCTGTACCTGGGTTTGGTTGATCTTCAACTCTTTGTAGATTGTGTGTTGATTTAAAAGTCCTCGTATCTCTGTTCACACATATCTTGCTTCCAGGCTTGGACTGCTGCCCTAGGAATGATTTATAGCAGCAGTGCCAGGACAGAGCACATTAAAGCAGAGAATGATTGGATCAAATGGTTTTGCTGTCTTGCAGCCATCCCCTCTTCCACAAGAGAAGAGAACACCTCCACCTACCAAACCCAAGCCAGGCTCCGCTTCCAGCTCTATCAAAGAGAAGCAGCTGCCCCTCCTGGCCATCTTCAGCCAGCAGAATACCCCAACTCCTACTGCTCCTCCTTCTCCACCAACACTTGCACCTCTCCTGGAGCCTGGGAACCAAGGCTGGCAGGAATCCACAGGGAACAGTGAGTGACTGACTTCACCCAAGTGGGGCTTAGTAGCGGGTAAAGGTTGGAATCAGAATTAGCCCCATGGCTCAGGAGATTTACAGCAGCACATGCTCTGTCATCAGCCAGCTGGCCAAACACTGGGTGGGCTGCATGAAATCATAGATTGTCACATTTCCAGTCTGGCTCAGTAATCATTATGGCACTTCACAGCTCTAACTCTTCCTTTTCTTCCCATCCCAGTGTAGGTTGCAAGGCACAAATGATGAAGGACGGGCTTCTCTCAAAAATGCCAGAAAGGCATTTAATAATAATAAACCCAGAAAGGACCTTTGGGCTACAGCTTTATCAAGGTCCAGGCCACAATACATTTTATTGCCTACCTGAAACATAATTAGTTTACCAAAACTACAACTCACTAAATGGACTTTAGACCAGGGAGGAATGAGAGGCCAAGTGTTTTACCTTCTAGAGCCTCTGGAGGGTTCTCAGAGACAGACTGAGGAATGAAGGAATGTCTCTCAGAGGGAGAATGAGAGCCTTGGAGACCTTGGATATTGACACATAAGGAGTTTCTGGATGCTGCTCACCTAAACAATGACATAGCTAATGCTTTTCACCAGTTGTTTGGAAGCGTTAGTCTTAAGTTTTGCCTCTGAATTTCAGTAGGATCTTGGACCCATAATTCATTTTATACTTGACTACTATTTTGGGTACATGTACCAGTGGCTTTCAAACATGCACAAAACAGTCAGCCAACAACATTACTGAAGGACTGCATCCTGCAGCAGCTTCACTGGTATAAAAGAATTTCCTTGTTTCACTCCCCCTCTCTTTTAAAATACAATTCTTTAGGAAGTCCTGTGAAAGTAAATGGAAGTAACTGGACTAGCCTAAAAAATACCTACAGGCTTTTGAATAGGGATATAGAAACAATTGAACTGTAGGATCTACTGTGTTTCTTGTCTGTGAACTCTGAAGTTTTAAAAGTTGGGAGTGCTTAAATGAAGACATTCCTACCTCATAAAGCAATGTATTTGAATGGTTGCCTTCAAACTGAGCCTGTCTTTAATAGATCTCCTGCAGAGAGAAAATCCAGTGCAGGTACTGGGTGCCTTGTACCAGAACCTTGCAGTCTGCAAGCTCAGGGAGAATTTTATGCCTTTTGAAACCTCTAGCAGCCTTTTTATAATGACATAAAGTGACAGGTGTCTTCAACCTTAAACACAGGGGCAGTATTTTGCCTGGGACACTGTGTGCTCCTTGTCTCTGCAGTGTTTCTGTTATAAACACTGAACTTTGTGGCTAATAGAGCAAATATAAATGCTACAGAAATGCTGGTACTCCCATGGTGGCTGTTTTGTGCGTACATTCATATTAGCTGATCACCGACCTTCAGGAGGGTTCCTGACAGTAAACTTTAGCCAGGCACATGGCACTGTCCCCTTTCTATTGGCAGGTCTTTGACAGGTGGGAAGGTGACTCTGTAGTCAGCAAAGCCCATCTTTGGGCTCTTTCTTCTCACACAGGCCCTACTGTAACAGTAGCAGAAGATGATGGTATCAAGACCCAGCTGTACAAGCTCACTACCAGTGTCAGCTTCTCCTATGTCAACCCTGCTTGGAAAATCTTGCTGCGTAAAGAGGTACAGTTTGTTAGCTGAGGGCTGCCTGTGGGGGGAGGGAACTGGACCCACATTTGGTTAGAAGAATTTTCTGTCATAGGCACCCCGTGCACAAAGATAGTTCTGGGAGGAGGTTACATGACACAGGAGTTGGAAGGGGGGGATCATCTCATATGAGATCTGGGTCTAACTCTGCCTTATTGACTCTTGTGTCTCAGTTTCCTTACTTGTCCTTTCCTTCCTCTGTAAAGCACTGAAAAATCTACAAATAAACATGCTTTTTCCCTGGTGCTTTCCTGTGAAAATAGTACAAATGTGTTTAAAGTCAAGTGTTGGAGAGTGCATTGAACTGACCAAGGTTCTTCCCATGGTGTCGCCACTTTACTTTCAGTCCTTAACTCCTGGTCCTTCTGTTTAAACACAGAGCATTTCTTCCCTTCCTGTCCTTGAAGATCAACTCACTCCTCTCTGGCAGTAGGGAATCTGGGTTACAAAACATCCTGGGGGAGCTATTTCTGCAGTATTTGTAAACATCTGCCCACATCACTATTTTTTTTTCCGTCTTTTGCAGGTGTTTTACCCCAAAGAAAATTTCAGTCACCCTTACTGTCTCAACTTGCTGTGTGAACAGGTATGTACTAGTGAATGATTCGAGGTCTGTTTTCCTGGGGACAAAACACCCCATAATTACATTGCATACATTGCCTTCACTTCTGCCTCCCTAGCAGTGTTTTAGTTTTTTCTCCAGGTCCATGCAGTCAAGGCCCTGTTCACTCCACTAACAGTCTAACAAACAGCCTCAGATGCTCCAGCACAATCACCTTTTCAGTGGAAGCCTCTCTGTTTCCTTCCTCTGCAGATCATGCGTGACACCTTCTCTGATTCCTGCTTTCGGATCTCCAGGGAGGAGAAGCGCAAGATGAAAGACTTGCTGAGTAATTAACAGCCCCACCATGCCTTCCTCCCTGTGCCTCTCCCAGCATTTGGTTTGAAATGAGAAATCAGCCTCCAAAATCTTCCAGGCAGGACTTAGGGCAGACAAGAAATGTTTATCGCTGCAGCAAGAAAGCACATTTGTGTGTGCTGTGTAGAAATATTTGTTTATTCCAAATGGCCAGAAAATGGCCCTGAAATTTCTCTGAGCCAGAAAAACTTAGAACTGATATATTTATAGTGAGGAGAGGAAACTGAGACCTAAGGATGGGATTTCGAGTTGTCTCAAAATCCAGCTGTCTTTTTTGATAGGAGTGAAATTAGTGTTAGACTGGTGTGTGCAAGTAATGTGGTATCCTTTCTCCTCTGCATGGTTTTTGCTGCACTGTAATCACTGAGGGGGACTGGTAGGACTGAAGTCCTGGGCAGAGGAAAACTTGGCCATCTTTGTCTTACTAAGAAAGTATCTGCTTTGTCACTCTGCTAGTGGAGTTCCGGGTTGGCAACGATGTCCAGTCCATTCAGGAGGATGGGATAAAGAAGAGGATTGTACTAGCTGCTCGGGATAACTGGGCTAACTATTTCTCCCGCCTTTTTCCAGTTCATGTGAGTCTTAATCTTCTCACCAGACCTCGGGCTTGCTTTAGCTGTGTGGCTCTAGTTCACCTGGGATCTTCTTCTGTCTCCCTGCCTGGCCACACATCACTCATTCTTCTGTGCCTTTTGTAGTTTGCTGGGGTTGACACCTCTGTCAGCCCAGGGCCTCCTTCATGGTACATGTGGCAGCATTTTCTTCCTCTCCTGCATCCTTTCTAGGTGGGATGGAGCCTTTGATGCTCACTGCTGCATTTCCCTTACAGGGTGAAAATGGAAGTGATGTCCAGATCCTGGGTGTTTCTCACCGGGGAATGCGGCTGCTGAAGGTGGTGAAAGCAGCTGGCTACAATCCTGAGCACCTGAAGATTCTTCACAGCTACAGGTGAACAAAAGGGCACTGGTTGATAATTTGTCACTTGCAGGATGCTTTCAGAGTGTTTAAGAGGCAAACTGAATGGGTGAGCTGAAAATCATGCCTGTGTCTATTCTCAGCCCTTGAATCACTGGGATGAGCCCCCATCCCTATGGTCTGCACCCCTAGCTCTGGCAGAAGAAGCTTGAGCATGCTGGATCTGTTCTCAGCTTTGCAGATGTGCTGTCAGTGGAACTGAAGAGCAACAATGCCCTGGAGTTCTCTCTGAAGACAGAGCAGCTCTTCCTGCACTCTCCAAAGGCTCCACACATCAAGGCCATGGTGGAACTCTTCATCCAGGAGCTGAGGCAGGTGAGGGAGTGGCTGTAGTGCAGTAGGGAATGAATGTGGTTTCCCACATAGACCTGAGAAGGTCCATGGGATGATATGGTCTGAGTCCTTCACACCCTGGGGAGGAGACTTGACCTTCCTGTTGCTTTTTCCCCAGGATACCAACTACGTTGTTGCTCTGCGCAGCTACATCACGGATGACAAGAGCCTTCTTAGCTTCAAGAAGGGTGACCTCATTGAGTTACTGCCCATGCAAGGCGTGGAGCCAGGTGAGGGAGTTTGTCAAGATTGGCAGGAAAGGTGGTTCAGGGTTCTGGTGGACTCACAGTACACAGAAGCTCTACACACTGCTGTCAAGTAACCCAGAGGAAAGCAGACTGGGAAGGGCTGGCTTAGCCTTCAGCTCTGCCATGCTCTGACAGCAACAGCTGCCATAGTCATAGAGGATGTTATCTTAGGATACAGCAAAGCCTAGTCAGTCTGATGCTCTCCTTTGCCAGTAGAATACTTCACTTCTTGGTAGCTGCCATGGTTTGTGAGTCTTTCTCCCCTTTTTCTGTAGGCTGGCAGTTTGGCTCCACTGGTGGCTGCTGTGGTATTTTCCCCACCAGCCTAGTGCAATTGGCTGCAGCCCCTGATTACCTCAGCACCAGCATGGACAAACGTGGAGGGCTGTGGAAGGGAATGAAAGCTTCCCCAGAGAGCAGGAACACCAGCAGGGAGGTGAGTTCTGTGAGAGCTGCCAGGGTGTGTCTGTGGCCCTGGTAGTGTCTGACTTCCAAGACTAGAGGAAAGAAGTTGACCGCTTAACCTTTGCAGATGGAGACACTCAAATGCTGTCATAGTGGGAGGGGGAGGCACCACAGATGAGGCCTTCCCAGGTCTGGCAGGGGAGGAGGATACACACAGCAGTTCCTCAGCTGACTTTATTGGGTGGGTTTGGTGCCTGTCCCTGCAGGGTTCTGTTCTCAGCCTGACATCAGAACCCAACAGCACCATGTTAGTCCCTGCTGGCAATCGTTACACCATGATGGACTTTGCCACAGCCTACTTCCGAGAGGCCCAGTCCATGTAAGTAGGCTGTAGTCCTTCCTGAATGGGCATACACAGGGTCTGTGTAGCCTGACCCACACCAGGCCATTACTGGGGATATTTCTTGGATTGCATGTTCCCTCTTCTCTGTCTAGGCAGAGACTGAAGGGGACGTCTGCTGAAAAGAAGAGTGCAGCTGACATGGTCCAGCACACCAAGGTGAGCACAGTCTCCCCTCATGTCTACAGCCAGAATCCCAGCTCCAGCATTGCCTGGGGGGCAGATCCTTGGCTGCAGTCTCTGGAGAAGTGTAGGTGCCCTCCACTTTTCAGCGTTGCCTGCAAGATGCTGGGAGCTTGTCTTCCATGAAGAATTCAGCACAGCTTCCCCAGCTTACCTGTGTATTCTGGCCCTGCAGGTCCCAATCCAGGAGTCCTTGCTCCAGTACTCTGACAGTGACCTGAATGAGCTTGCCACAAAGAACTTCAAGAGTAAGTACCTCCCTAGAACACAACGCTGCAGAGGCTGGAGTGGGGCGAGTGGGACGCCCTTGGTGGATACATACAGACATCATGAGGCCCAGAGTGGGGAATGAAATCTGAGAGGGGAAGGCCCTTCCTAAGGCATTTCTGCAGTTACTAACCATCTGTGTTCATGCTGAAACCATGCAGCAAAAAGCATTTTGCCTTGAGTGCAAAGTGCCCAGGAACACACAGTGCCTGGGCTGATGCCCTGCTGGTTGCACATGTCCAATGCAAGCCTCCTAATAGGCTGTGGAGGAGAAAAGCTTTCAGGACATTTTCTAGCCTCCTGCTTGCCCACAGCAGCATCACCTCTGCTTAGACCTAAACGCCAGCCTTTGCTTTGCAGCTCTGATGCGGTTCATGGGAGATCAATCAAAACTCAAGAACCAGAATGAGGTTGAATGCATCTATGAAATCCTTCAGGTTTGTGACCTTCTCCTGGACAAGGTGCTGAAGCACCAACGCAAATGAAGGGCCAAGACTTCGCTGGGAAGGGAGAACCATAATGCAACCCTCTTACCTGGGGAAGGGAGAACCATAATGCAACCCTCTTACCTGAGAAAGGGTGCTGAAATAGGCTGATTGATTAAAAAAACGTGGTGTGGAAGGGTTGCATGTAAGTGGTTTCCCTGGGTATCACTGTCTGGATGAGAGCACAACCTGCCTCTCCTGCTTTGAGCCTAGATGGCACTAGAGACCAGAGGCTGCAGAGCCCAAGCTTTACACCAAACTCTGGCAGACCTCTAGAGCTGAGAGAGGAAGGGCATAGAGGTGACCTGGGGCCTCTCTGATGCTCCCATCCTTTCTCTAATGCTTTTTCCTCCTCTCTGAGTGCAGCTGTGCAAGGAGAAGGAGAGTTTGCATGATGAGGTCTACTGCCAAGTCATCAAGCAGGTCACCCGAAACCCTAACCAGTGAGTACCAGCACTGTCAGCTCCTGTGCATGCACAGATGGAGGGGAACCTGCCTTGCAGCATGAGCACCAGGGCCAGGGGGAGGCTGTCCCCTAACGATGTGCTGTCCCTGGATGCTCAGATGATGAGACTTTGGCTGAGCACTCAGGAAGTTTAGCTAGTCACTGGGCTGGGCATTTTCATTTCACTGGATGTCTGTCCCTATATCTCTGGCTGCTGATATATCTGGGCACTGGTAAACATTCCTGGTAGCTCCCAGTACTGGTGCTGCTCAGAGTCCTGATTTCCTCATCACAGCCTTGGGGAATTGGTACAACACTTAGGGACTGGCCTGACCCCACAGTGCCCTGCAATATGGCAGCAGTGGCAGCAGAGGCAGCAGAGTAGCCTTGGCTGTTCCCTTCCTTTGCTTGCTGTTAGAATAACTGAATCAATCCCTTCTTCAACACAAGAAACCTCTGACCAAAGGCCATCACCTCATTTTCTGCCACCTGTCCTAGGTGTTCAGAAGGGCAGAGGCTTCCTTTGATCTGCTTGGAGCAAGAATTGTCTTGTTCCAAGGTGTCCACTGTTCCTTCTGTTCCACAGGGAGAGCACGCTGCGTGGCTGGTTGCTCCTAAACCTGCTAACTGGGTACTTCCTCCCTTCTAACCTCCTGATGCCCTATGCCACCAAGTTTCTGCAGCTAGCCAGCAGTGATCCATCTAGCACCCACCATGGTATGACTGTTTCTGTGTCCTATAAAATCAGTGTCTGCCTCTTTGTTACTGAGACTGAGTAGTCAAGGAAAGAAGACAGGATCCAGGTGGGGTCATGGTCCAATGGGAAAGTCTTCCTTATCCTGTCAGGCAGGAGAAATAAGTGGGGTCCTGAAGGAGCTGAGCTTGCAGGCAAGAGTCTGCTTTGTATCTCTGGTCTTTCTGTTTGCAGAGGTCACTTCCCACTGCTTCTTCACCCAGGCAAGGTGGAATTGTGTCTCCGAGCCTTAGGTTAGTCCAGTGGCTTAGGCCCAATTTGACAGCTAGACCCTGGGGAAAAGGCAGGCTGTGGGCTTCCAGAGTCATCAGATGTTGGAATACTGACAGAGAAGAGGGTTCTAGTTCTCCCATCCTGTCATTCCTCTGCACTTCTACTGCCCTGGATGCCCTCTGAGGCTGGCCCCTCATGATCTGGATGTGTCCTAGCAGAGCAGGAGATGAGGTCAAGTCTCTTTGCTCTCCTAGCAGCACCCCTGGGTTAAATTCAACACAGGCAGGATGACCCAACACCACAGGAGACAATGCTCAGTCCTCTGTTTGGCTCAGCACATGAAGCTTTTCCTTTTCCTGCAGATACAGCCAAGCTCTGTCAGAGCAACCTGCGGAAGAATTTCCTGTACGGGGGCCGTCGCCACCTTCCTTTCCCTGTGGAGATAGAGGCATTGCTGGTATGAGGGGCAGAGAAGTGGGGATGCTGGCAACAGAGGGAGGGCAGAGGCTTGCCAGGAGGTGCCATGTGCAGTGTTCCAAGAGAGAGAAAGAAGCATGTGTCTGTAAGGTGATTGGGAAGTGCAATGCCATGGAGTAGGCAGGGGTATGGGCAGGGAAGAGGCAGGTACTGTGGGCAAGTAGTAGGAGGCAGAGATGAGGAGGAAGAGGGAGAAACAATTGTGGGGCTGATGGGATCTGGCATGGCTTGCTTCCTGAAGACTCTCCTTTGCAGAAGGGGCGCAGTGCTCGCCGGCTGATGGTACCAATGCCTGGAGGTGTGGAATACCTTACCAGAATCAAGACATTCACTGTGAGTTTTCTGCTTTTAGTTTCTTCTTTGATCTGGACTCTGAGCCACACCAGGGAACTCCTTTAGCTGTCAAAAACTTGGGCTTGGCCTGTGCTTCCCATAGTACTATGGCAGTTCCCCACTCACTTTCTAGAAATCCCTGTAGCAGAGCATCTCTGCAGGGCCTGTACAACTCTGGGCTGCCTCACCCAGCATGCTGCTTTGCACAATGCCCAGAACCATACTGTTGCCCTCCAACAAGCCCAGTATATCTAACTGCTCTGGGGCTGCTTTGGGTTTGCCAGGCCACAGTATTCATTTGCTTCTTTCCTTACTTCAGGTGGCCAAGGAGCTCTTGCAGGAAATTTGTGAGCAGATGGGGGCAGGTGAACAGGAAGAGATACAGGAATTTGTTCTTCTTGCCATCAGGAGCGACAACAATAATCATGGCAAGTAGAGACTAGCACCTGGCTTCCTTTTTAAAGCGGTTTCTTCAACAGGGAGTACCATGGCCACTGTTTTGCATAGTTCCCCCACCCTTGGCTTGCTCTGGCAAGGCTCCTCTTCACCAGTTTCCCTCTGCACTCGGGTTAAGGATCGTGCCTTCTCAGGGGCATGTTCCTGAAGGAGGGCTGTGTGTCTGTGTGGGTCCATGTCCCTTTGGAATGGCTGATGGTTGGAGTCATAAGGGCAAGGTGGAATAATGGGGTGCAAGAAGGCTCCTCTCCCTGGCCACGGAGCTCAGCCCACTGCCTCAACACCCAGGGTGATGACCCTCTCTTTGCAAACACATGTAGGTAAAGTGGTGAGACCAATAAGATCAGAGGAGTATCTGCATGATTATCTGCTGGAGGACAAGTCGGTCACCGTGACTTTACGCAGGCTCACCTGGAGGACACCTCTGCACTTTGAGAACAAAATTTATACTGATGTCCATTATGGACAGGTAAGCAAGAGGCCAGCGTGCTCACCAGGAACCTCCTTAGCAATGGAAGAGTTAATGTACGGGCCAACTGGAATGTCCCAAGGGCGATGAAGAAGTGGGGGGACTCTGGCCAGCCAGCTTTGTATGCTGTTTCTGGGAGTGACTAGTAACTAGAGCTACGGATGCAACAAGGCAGCACACCTGTAGCCCTAACCTGTGAGCTGAACTGCTCCAGATGTGGGTTGTGAGTTCCACATGCTCCTCCTGAGCCCAGAAAGCCTTTGCTTTCAAGTTACCAGCCTGAGCTGGATGTGTCACCAGCAATGCAAGATGTGGGTGTCTGCAGCCTGGCGCTGCCCAGACCTACCTGCACCTTCTGGCAGGTTTAACAAAGGCCTCTTTGCTGTCCTGTCTCTCAGATACTGTGGGACTACCTGAATGGGAGGATACTGGTGAGCCATAGCAAAGAAATGGAGATGCAGGTGGGCATTTTGGCAATGTTCCAGCACTGGGCCAAAACAGAGCAGCAAAACTCTGCTCCCTCCAGGTATGTCTGTCTCAGGGTGGGTCTCTGTCTCTAGTGGTAGTTGGCACCACAGGGGTTACAGGCAGGTACCTGAAAGTACTCTCCAGATAATTAAGGAACGCTCATTTCTAGAGAATGTAAGCTACTAATTAAGGTCACTTAGTGGCTGACTAAGAAATTGTTGCCACATCCCCTCTTTCCTTTCAATCCCCTCAGCTGATCTTTTGATTTTAGCTGGTCAGGGGGTGAATTAGTATCTGCTTGTTGGCACAGGGAAGAGCTAAAGGAGTACATGCCAAAGACCCTGCAGTCCTCCATCAGACTCCACGATGTGGAAAACCATGTTGCAATGCTGCTGAGAACCAGGGAGCCCCTCCAGTCAGTGGATGCAAAAATCCAGTTCATAGGTGAGGAGACATCCTGATCTGCTTGAGTGGTCTCTTCCAAGCGTGACGGATGCTGTTCTGAATGCACTTTTGGGATGGTCCATGAGGTTGGCAAGGATCCTGGGAGCCTGGAATGGGCCATGATATAGAACTCCCAGAGAACCTCTCCCTGCATATTGGCATTTGTTCCCAAGCATGGTGATCATGGCAGAAGTTCCAACTCTTTTGTAGAAGTCTCCAATAGATTTTCAGAGCTCTGTATAAGTTGTATTTTAATTAATATCCTGGTTGCACATCCATTTTCTGGTCAGCAAAGAATGGGACATCCATTAAGTCTGCTCAGAATTGAGTATCTGCAGCCTGGTGGGGAGGGAGAAGTTGTCAATCTTACTTTTCAATGTAGAAAAGCTTGAGAACTCTTGCAGTTTTTGACCACCTCAGGCTGATGTGATAGATTGCTGGCTGGAAGCTGCTGCCTGAAAGCCACTTTCTGCTTTCTTACAGAGCATGTGATGAAACTACCTTTCTTTGGCTACAACACCTACTTCGTAGAGAGAGTCAGTGATGACACAATCTCTGTGCCCTGTTTCTTTGGTGTGAATAAAGAAGAGATCATTGTGGTGGATAGCATCACTCAGGTATGCCACATAATTCCTCCTCAGAGTCCAGAGCCTTGATGTTTGTCAGATGCTAACTTTGACTATTAGAAGAACTTAGCAGGAAGATATTGCATTTACCTGCATCACAGCCACTCTAACAACGGCTCTAGCCCAAAGCAAGTGACAAAAGTGGTAGAACAATAAGTAGTGCCAGGTGTTCTTTTATAAGTTCAGCGATCATACTGACAAACACAGTCCACAGTAAAACTAAGTGTAGGTCACACACCTGTTTGTCCCAGTCTTGGAGGAGTTCAGGGACACGCTGTCAGCAGAAGCCTGCCTTGTATTCTGTACACATTGCCCCATGCCCATCCTGAATCCCGTGCCCCTGTGCTGAACCTGTCTCAGCTTTCAACAGGCTCTTGAGGTGAATCCTCCTTGGTGAGAACCAGTTTTATTAGCAAGGACTGCACCAGAGAAGGTTCTGTGGCTTCTCTCCTCACACAGGAGGTGTCCTGCGTCATCCCGCTGAGGGAGCTGCGGCGGATGCGAACGCTGCGGCCTGTCTCCGAGGGCTGGCTTCCCGGCATAGAACTGAACTACGGCTCAGCTGCCAGCCCCAAGACTATGTGGCTTGAACTGTCACAGGTGAGATGCGCCTGGACCTACAGCTTCCTCCTGGCACTTCAGAAAGGGTTCTCCACTGCCCAGCTGAGCCTCTGCTAAGGGACAGCACAGCTGCTCTCTTCTGTCCCGGAGGTGTAAGGGGGGCACTGCATTCCCTGGGACCCAAAGTGCAGCTTTGCCCCTGCACATGCCTGATATTGAATTATGGAAAGTGTTTTCTGGGAATATTTCATGATGAGAAGCAACTGTTTCTGGGCAGAGAATGACTGATACCAATCTGTGTTTTGACAGGCCAAAGAAATGTATCACACGATTGTTGTCATCCTGGATAAAGTAGAGTTGCACCCATAGAGCCTAAGAGGTGCAAAATGGTGCTGCTTGCTTTTCTTGGAGCTTGTTCGCTGCTCCCTGCCCTGTCTTCTGGAGAGGACTCTTCCAAAAGACATCTGTGACCTCAGACAGCTGCTTTCTAAGACTGCCACCACAGTGTTTGTTCATGGACTGGACCACAATTTCACTCCTCAGGTACTCTGCGTTGAAGCAATGCCTGCAGTGGCTAAACAAACCACAAGACACCATTCCCACACCATTGCTTTTTTTTTAAAGCCTGCTCCAACACAGAGCAGCTGAACAGGTACAAGCAATTGCTTTCAAGCTATGCAGTGTGGGACTCTTCATTTCTGTTTTTTTTTTTTTTTAATTAATTGACATGAACAAAGACTGAGGCTTGATAGAGATTTATGTATCAGAATGCACAGCTGAGGCTATGATGTGACTGCACTGGCTGCAGGAGTTTCCATAGGCCAGCTTTTGCTCTGTATTGATATGCAAGAGGCCTTACAGCAGGATTTGTGAAGCAGGAGCTTGTAGAAAGCATCTTAATTGCAAAGCAGATGAGTGTTATTATCCAGCTAACACATATGCTGGGGCACAGATTGAGCTGCAATGGTAAGAAAGTTTATTGTTTATGAGTTTCTAACATAACTGTATGTCTCTGTTTCCCTCTCCTATAAAGAAGTCAGTCACGTCCCTGCAGTTGTCATACTCCAGGGATGGCTCCGTGCCCGTGGAGGAAGCACATTCAAATGGAGCTTGTATTACAGTAGGAGTGTGTCCTGGGCTGTACAAAAATGCTTAATTTATTTTTATTGCTACAGCTATCCTACCAAACTGAAAACTATCTGCACGTTAGGAGATGGCAATAAAATAATCACATAGGCATGGTTTGAAGCTATGACATGACAGATACTGGTTTACACCTAACGTGGGAAAATTGGTCTGCAGGTAACTGGCAAAGCCTGAGGAAAAGGTTGTCACTGTCGGCTGGGAAGGAGATAGGTCTGAAGGTGCCCAATGCAAGCCATGATGCACAGCTCACTGCTACTGGTGAGGAGTAACTACAGCATCTTCCCTCTCAGGAACTTCTCTTCAAGTGCTGCTTGCTGTGGTCTGTGAGGTCTTAGCTGAAGCATGTTCCACCTTTCCCTTTTAGTGGTGCTTCTGCAAGACCAGGGAAAAGACCACAGTGACATGAAAGAAAGGAATAGAGAAGATATCTGAAGATTAACTTACCCTTTCTTAAGAGAATTATTCCCATTCTCTTTTCCTGAGCTTTTGCTGCCTTACATAGAAGCACAACATGTCTGGTTAGAAATGCCCCATAGTGTGATAAAGCACTTTGTCATGCAACCCCACACCTTAACCAGCCCTTTTGGAAGCCCTCTGATTTACAAATTAAACAAAGAGAAGTTTACTTGTAAGCACTGAACTCTGGAGACAGTAACCCCACTTTAGTGACTGACAAAAAAGGATTTTTCATGGGAAGGTAAAACAGAAGCCCGCAGACAAGAGCTGAAAAATACTTCTACGGTGTAAAAGGATTCCTGCAAAGCCCTTTGTCAGAGCAAAGCTGCAGATGAAAGTGACTTTTGAGTTAAATATTTCCAGGTTCTCCTTCTGGTTCTAGCTGGAGAAGTTCTGCAGCTATAAAAGGTTGGAGATGTCTGCTGGCACATGCTCCCCATCCATCCTATCCTGGCCTTGCATTTATTAGCTTTCTATTCAGATACAAAAAGAGGTTTCATGTCTATATTCACAGTGATGGAATTTTACTGTATCTTAGACCGGTCTGCATGACCGAGTGATAAGAAAAAGCTTCCAGGAAGAGTCCACAGTGGCTATAACATTGTTTTATTGTCAGCTCAACACCTACCCTTCAGTACATTAAAAAAAAAAAAAAACAACATCTGTTGAGTACAGTGATCCAACCAAAAGCCTGTTTGATGACCTCTCAGGCTACAGATTGCTCTAGCAGCACTAGTGCCTGAGGCCACTAGCCTCTATAGGTATGGAACAAAGGCAGAACCCAACAAAAACCCAACAGAAAGGACTTGTGCCAGGGAATCAGGTTATTTCAAACCCACTGACATCCTAAGGTTGAGGTCCTTATATAAATATAGCAGCAGAGGCACCACAGTGTTAATTTGAGGGCTGCAGCAGTACCGTAACCAATTGTATCAGCAGCATTGCCCTCAGTATTGCAGACTGTGGGCGAGGCACAGGGAGAAAATATGGCTTTAGGGGGTACAAGCAAATGCTGGAAAAAGTGTTGGCAACCTTGGTGCCACTACTGGAAAGGTTAACACTGAAAGAACATCACCACTTAAGTGAAAGGGGAGACAGAACTGGACAAAGTAAAAAAAAGAGTTCAGATTAAAAGAAAAAGAATCTGAGTTTCTCCACTTTCACAAATTAGGCATTGCCTGCATAGTAAAAACAAAATGCTCCCCCCCCCTCCTGCCCTTCAAGGGAAAACATTCCATCCAGGAACTCAACCATCAAGTTTGTCCTTGGCAGCCCTGAGCAAAGCACGTGAACTTGAAGCATAAGGCTTCTACTGGTAACATGGAAAGAACTAAGAGCTGGGGGAGCCAGGGGAGGAGCCATCCCAAAGCAATCCCAGCTGGCAAGTCTGAGCCCTGCCCAGACTGCTGCAGGGAGTACAGGCTGGAGACTGCAGAACATGAGGCAGCAGCCTCTAACTTAAAACAGCAGATGCAGACTTCACACCTCTTGGCAAGAGGCATTAGAGGGCTTCAGCATCCTGCTAATCAGGGTAACTCTCCGTAAGTTCACAGAAACTGGTTTCCTGGAAGTGTGTGTCATTAAGGACAGAAGTGAGCAAAAATGCAGTGGGAAAAAACTAAGCTCACTTCTGCAGTTTTATGAAACCCTCTAAGGCTGAGTTCTTCATGATCCCCTGGTCCCACTGCTGGAGGAAGGAAGACAGCCAGCATGATGCAAGGATCAGCTCTCGGAGCTCTGCAGCTCCTCCCAGTCTGTCTCACTCTCACACCTCACCCTTGTTTTGAAAAATTCCTTGATGAGTCTCTGTGCTTCCTCCTTCACTGCAAGAGAGGAAGTACAACCTTTGAGATGATACTTTAGACATCAATCCATTTATCATCAAAAGAACCCAAGAGTCTTGGTGCTCTCCCCGGCTGCCAACTCACCAGTCTTGCGGGCAGGGTTCTGCTCTTCAGTCAGTAAGTGAGACAGGTGCCGAGCAAAGCCCTTGAACAGATCCTGCAGAATTGGGGAAGATAAAGAGCAGAAAGCAGGCAGTGGTTACCTCACCAGACTGTTTCCATATTTGTCTTGCCCTTAACACTGGCTGGCTGTAGCACAAACCCTTCATATATTTAGACTAGAGGACTGTAGCAAACATACAACTACACATGACCCTGCAGTGCTGGAGAAGTACATGCACACACACGCTGCCTTGCAGAACACCAAGTAAAATACACCAGAATTGAACCTGATCTGCTGCCATTCCACAGGTAGGAGCTCTTAAAAACGTGCCAGAGTTTAGTGTGAAAACATGAACAATCACAAGTGTGGAACCTAATGATACCACATTCTAAATCACACACTAGCTCTTTCTTGGGAGAGGTCAGCAGCTGCACCTAGAGTCACTAAAGCAGCACACACTGAGATGGGACTTGGAAATGAAATGTGGTATTTAGACCATCTTCCCCTTCTTAGAGCCCCAGAGAGATGCAGACTCCTTCTGTTAACAAAGGGTCTTGTGCTGTGGCCTACCTTGGAAGCAAACTTGCCACCCTTGTAGAACGGGGTCAAATATTTGACCACGATGTCTGCTGTCTCTTTGAGGGACATGGCTTTGGTCACTGGCTGTATGCTCTTACTGGTTCCTTCTTCATCACACTGTGTTAAGTTTGGATCAAAGGTCACCTTCTTCTTTGATGGACCTGAACTTTTGCTTTCTGGCTGGGACAGAATAGAAGATTTTGCCACTGTCCGTAGCCGCTTTGTTGCAGGACTTTCCATACCCTGGAAGGGACAGAAGAAAACCAAAATCACCAATTCCTGTGGCAGCATGACGCTCCCGAGCAGACGCTGCCTTCTGAGAACAAGAATCGTTGCAGCACCCTGCAGTGAATACCATGCAGGAATCTATGTCACTCATTTTGCTGTGCAGACATAATGCACAGCAAATTGTTTCCCACATAAAGAGACTTTGAGAAAAACTCTTCAAGACTCCACATTTAGAATTACCTTATGCTTTTATTAGGGCAGCTAATTGTTAGACCCTGTCCTGTACAGGAAAAACTGACGGGGAAAGGTTTCCCAGGATGTCTGCTGAGAATACACCCCTTGGGAAGAATCTACCCCTTCAGGAGTGCCACACTCCCGTTCGATTTGAAAGAGCAAGGAGAAGACCACACTGTTCAGGAGGGACAACTACCAGGCAGCCCCAGATGCCAATGCAGCACCAGAGTCTGAAGGGCAAGGAAGACTGCGAGCATGGGTTGCTTCGGAGTGGTCCTGTGCATCACTGACCTGTGGTTGATCCCTTGACTTGAGAAAGCACTTTGCTAATTACAGTCACAGACCTAGACAGGGTGGAGGGACTCATTCCAGGCAAGTCATCAGCAGGGCTACAGTCACGGGTGTTGTAGGGAGGGAACGAAGCACAGTGGAGAGGGACCTTGGCACTGCAGTCCGAGCTGCTGGCACGGGCACAGTGGGTGGCAGGGCAACACCAAGATTGCAACACAAACGTGGTTCTCCACTCGGCTGCAATTGCAGCTGGGCCCTCCCAGAGCAATAACACTATCAGGTGAAGTTCAGACCAGGAGCGTCACTCCCAGAGAGAAACTTGGCACAAGATGAGCAGAAGACATAGAGGAAATCGGCATCCATTAAAGCCTTACCTCATCTGATCCTGGCCGCTTCCCACTCTCACTTTCCCCAACAACACTTAGCTCAGTTTCTGTGACGTTTTCAGCAACACTAGTGGGAAAAGTGGAGAGAAGGCCAATTTCAATCATTCCACAGTGAAGATATTACTGCAGTCACTGTCAGTGGCCACAGGACTCTTCGTGGTAAAGCACGAGTCTCCCTCACCAGCCCAGAGATCTAATACAGATTCCTGTTTTCCAGGACACGGCTGGTGGGGCTCTGCAGCTCCTTAGCAGGGCAACACAAGGAGCAGAGAGGTAAAGATTTTACCTGGATTTTCCATCAATTTCTTTCTGAAGGAGTTCATGTTCAGCAGCCTGCTGAGTCTTAAAATCCTCCCCTCTCTCAGTCAGTGTTATTTCTGTCTCTCCCAGTTCTTCACTCTCTGCCTGGGACTGTCCCGTCACGTCTTCTCCAGAGACATCTTTATTTTCCTGAGATACTGTTTTCTTTTGACACATGCTTTGTGAAGAAACCTGAGGTAGTGTGCTTGCAGAACAGCCATCTTCCTTTGCTGAGCTGCAGCTTTTGGCTTTAGACCCACCTTTGGAGAGGGAGAAGAACTTGGAAATATCCTGTGATTCTTTTTTAGCTGCTTCTGCAAGCATTTGCTGCTTCTTGCTAAGTTTGGACTTCTTAGCAGGGCTCTCCTGAAGGGCAGCTTTTGTGTCTGGACTGGGATGCTGTCCCTTCTTTTCAGGAAGGATTACTTCTACCCCAGCACTCTCACACATTGCTGTGGTTCCCATTTCTTTGTTCTGAAGAACAGGGGTTCTGGTGTCCGGTTCCAGACTGCAATTGCTGTTGCCTTGCCCATTCAGACAATCTACTTCTTTTTTGATGGGATTCACATCACTCTCCTCCTGGATCTTCAGCAGTTCTGAAGCTGTCTGGAACAAGCTGGATTTCTTTGGAAATCCTGCTCCCACACGCTTGGGTTTGAACTAGGGAGAAAGGGAGAAGAAGAAATCTTGTCTGTGAGAATGCTAAGGAAGCCCTGAGGGCATGTGCAGAACGCTGGAAGGAGCTGTGCCTCTGTACACAACACACCAGTGTGCACGGCCGTAAGCTGCAGAAGGCTCTGAAACAGACTCCTCATCATAACCATCAACAGAGACACCAGGGAAATGGATTAGGTGAAATCCACAGGCCCACAGTAAGGAAACAGAGAGCATCCTTGGCTGGAGCAAGATGAGAAAAACGTATTTAACGTATGGCCTGCATATGGATACATTCACTACTAGGAACCAGCATGACTAATTGATCTCCTTCCAGAAACAAAAGACAGGGAAAGCAATTGCAGTAGAAATATACAGCTATGGCCACAGATAGGACTTAAAATTATAAAAAAAAGCAGATAGACAAAGCACACTGTTCCCTCCTCATCTATCCTATCTGTACTCCCTCACCGAGTAAACCTGGGATGCAGGGAGGAAGTCCTCTTCTGCTGGAGACTCAGATTTTGTTTCCAAGCTGCTGCTGCCCCCAGTTCCAGACCCAAAGACGGAGAACAACTCTCCTTGTTTTGAAGCTTTGTTGATTTCTGCTACCTGAAAAGGGAGCACAAATATTCTCTGGTGACCAGAAATCTCTATGAATTCCTGCCTTTGTACAGTTACTTTGTATAGTAAAAGCTGCAGTGGCAAAACAAATGTCTCCCCTAGAGACACACCTATCTCAAGAATGGAAACATCTTCAAGAGAGACTTATGGCAACCAGCTAACCTAAAACAAAGCTTCTCTATTGTCAGTGACAGTTTGAGGAACTTCACATTCCCTTTATTTTTAGACCTAGAAGGTATCCGGATAAGTTTACACTCGGTATGTAGGTCTCCAGAGCTGTAAAGCCAACAAAGATGCAAAACCAACCTGATTCTGGGCCTTCCTGGAAACAAAATCAGGAAGAAAGATTTGGAAGACACTCAAAGCAAAGCAGAGCTTTTCCTTCACCTTTCCCACACAAGCCCTACCCTATTTGCCCTCAAGCTGAGGGCACACCACATTCAGGGGAACACCAGCATACACATGGCCTTACCTTCTTGAGCACAGTTGCCTTGTAGGAGTTGGCCATTTTACTGGTTCGGAAAGCTTCATACTCCAGCTCCACAGCACAGGCATGAGGGTCTGACCTGCAACACAAGCTGGGCTGATTCTGGGCAAGACACACTTCTACATCTGCAAAGGGAATACTAATGCTTTAGCACCTCCCAGAAAACACAAAATTCATTCCCCCAGTGCAAGAATAAGTGATAACTTCCAACTGAGTCCTATGGGATGCAGTGAATTGCTGGAGAACGCAAAGGGTGGTGACAACAATTTGATTCCAAGTCCTTTTGCCCAGTTGCTCAGTTTGAGCTGTACATTATCCCCATCTTGTGGAACACGGAAGAATTGCAACCCCTAGGATCAAGCTGATTTAGCAGAATCGGACAAAGGAATCTTCGCACTGGATCCTGATCATCCTTACAGGAAGGATGCTGTTAATTGAAACTACATCCCTGGACCAAATAACTTAAAAACGCATTCCCCGAGGGTGGTAACGCTGCTCAGGAAAGAGTAGGCCCTGTGTTACCCTTTTCTATCATCTCATACCCTTTTCCTTCTGCTGTTGGAACCGTTTGATTGGTGCTCAAAGCTTCTTCCAGCATCCTCAAGCAGTGTTCCCGTCCCTAGGAAACATGGGATACTCAGATATGCTCTACAGAAGTCATAACATCTCGTGGACTTCCATCTCTGAAGGAGTAAGAACAGGGCAGGCAGAATCTTTGTTGTCCTTTCCAAGTCAACAAGACTGAACGTTAACAAGCCTTTCTTACCTTCACTGTGAGCTTAGAGATTCTCCTGCTGCAGGCATCCTTCAAGGGCCAGTCTGCACCTACCAGAGAAGAGACATTTGGAAAAGATGTCATAGCAGGGCTGGGGCTGATGGGAACATCTCAGCTGTCCCTGGGAGGGTGCCAGTCCAGGACTGCATGGCATGTTCCTCCCCACACAGTCACCCCAAGGCACCCTTTTTACCTGGAGAACCCCCAAACTCCAAAAGACTAGGCAGAAGGCAAAGTGAGATTCTTCTCTCTGGATAAGAACATCTACTTTGCTCATTTATGACTAACAGTTTTACAAAACTGGGGAGATCTCAGGAAAACATTTTTCAAGGATTCCTGGCTCTTAAGAAACTCAACTCTTTTCCACTCCCTGCAATACCAACCGAAAAAAAAAAATAAAGAAGAGGCTGAATAGAGTAAGATGAACTACCAGGTATTCTTCTACAATAGCGTAAGAACTCTGTTGCTAGACAGGGCCTCAAGCAGCACAGTTACAAACAGTAAAGATTTTCAGCAGCTTCCTTATAGCCCGGTTGAACACTGCTGCATAACCACTGCAGAAACAGCCTACAGAGTCAGGTCAGACAGAGTTTTCCTTCTCTCTTGCTCATTTGGAAAAGTTGTTCATAAAGCTGCATTCCATATCTTCACCCCAACCAAAGCAAAGCTCTGATCCATCTCCTCCAACTGAGCTTTCACGGCCAAAAGCCTGACCTCTGTGCCTAGGGACTGATACCTCCAGTGTTGTGCTATATAAATTACATGCAGCTGCATAACACAAGTCTTTCTTCTCCCAAAGAAAACCCACTATAAATCAAAGAAGATACTTACTTGGAGGAACAAAATCTTCCTTTTCTGGTTCTTTGCCCTGGAAGAAAAAAACAAGATCAGTCAAACATTTCCATTCCTGCAACACACATGCAGTAGAAGCACAAAAGACATTTTATACCCCTGCTCTAGGGAAAAATGAATGCTGAAAAGGAACTGAAAAAGCACCAAATGTGGGAAAGAAGACAAAGAATGAGAATCAAAGCCAAAAGTTCACCTTTGCTATAAGAATATGCAAGACAAACTGAATGTGAAAATATGTTTTTATTTGTATCAGAGGTATTAAAGACAAGAGGATCCTCTTGATTAGCACTGCAGAGCAATCAATACATGAATAAACTGAGTTTCTTCCTATGATAGGATTGACCCTGAATATGGAGAACACAGCAAAAGCAGAGGTACTGAAAGTAAATAAAAGACCAGAACAACAGCAAGGTGCAAAAATTTACTTTGATTCGTGCCAGGAAGCCTTTATGTCTGCAAGACAAGCTCCTGGCAAACAATCCGTGGGTCTCACACAGGGACAGCAACTCACTTTGCGCAGACTCATCTGCTTTCTGTAGAAGTTGTTCCACTCCCGTTTCCGACTCTCTTCATTGGCTTCATCCCCATTCCCACTGCTTTCTTCATCATACCTGGAAAAGGCAGGAAAACAAGAGGAACAGACACTTCTGTAGCTGCAGCATTAACTTGGGGACAGGCTTTGCAAAGCCCAGGTCACCCAGTATCTACAAAAGATGACACATGTCACATCCTTGCTGAACAAGTCTTAGGTTTTAGTTTCACTACCACCCCTCAGCCTGGACAGTAGTTAACGGATTTGTTAATCCCATGAACTAGTAAGCAGTAGCATGAATTAGCAGCACATAACTAGTGCTCTGAGAATGGAGGGCTCCATTTCAGAAGCTCTGCAAGCTTCCCCCAAAAAGTTGAGGAATCGCTGCCTTATGTCAGGCACTCTACCTGCCAGTCACTACTGCCCTTGGAGCAGAGACGGCAGAAAGGGCAAAGCATCCATTCCTCAGCCTCAGTTGTTCACGGACTGTTGTATTAAAAGAAGTCCCCATCACTAATACACCAAAATGCAGCAGACAGTTCTTGCCAGTGGTAGCCCAAGAGTTACTGGTTTCCACAGCTGTGACAGCTAAAATTCAGAAGTATGACAAATCAGAGCTTTAAGGCTCTCGACTACTACAGCTTCCAAGGCAAAGCTACAACCAAGTCATGGAGAGGTTCAATAAATCAAGTGGCAAACAGTGTGCTGTAAAACAGCACTGGCCATGTCTTCTCAGGTCCTGAGACGAAACTCAGGCTCAGGTCACAAGCAGAGCAGTTTCCTGACTCAGCTGGGCTTGCCTGAAGAACAGAGCCAGGGGTCTCAAGCCGTTTAAGGTAAAGCAGAGGGCGGCCGACAGCGCTGCGCATCCCGGCAGAGCTTCACGGGCAGCACCAGAGCTGCACAGCCACTGCAGCTCAGCCAGGGAACGAGGAAGAGAAGTTCTCATCTTCACACCACTGAGCATTTTACAGCATTAATCATGTTTCCTCCTGCACATCTTCCTTTTGCTGTCAGCCTTAAATGTAGCAATCTGCAGGAGAAGCAGATGCTGGCACTCCATTACATCCTCTGTGATGACTAAGTTCTGCCAGTGGCCCCCCAGCCTGCTGGCCCACAGACAGGAATGAACTCTGGACCATGTCATACTTTGCTGTCACGCTGATCTCAATTTAAATGTTTTTGATCCTTGTGACTGTGAATGGCTGAGCCCACTTATTGGTTTCAAAAAATTTCAGGCTAGTTTCTTGAACCAATTACATTCTGCAGGGGAATTCTTAGGTCAGTCAAAACAGCTTTTAGCTCTCTGGGACATGAATGTAATCAAGGCTGCCGAAGTGTGTGGAAAATGAAATTCCAGCTCCTGCTGCCAGGAAGTTACAGGAAAAATACCATCACACAGAAACACGTGCTGAAATTAGGAGCGGTTGGGTCTGCAAGTGGGAGACTCTCTCTTCTCTCTGATAGAGCGTATGAGCTGAGCTTGAGCTACCAAGTACAGACCTGCTAAAACCTCTGCAACCTCTCC